CTTGATGCCCCTCCTTTTCATACAATCTCCACCGTTCGAATCACATTCTCACCCTCTATTTATTCATCTTTCTCTCCTCGTTCTTCTCCCAAACTCCCCAGTCACCTTTCTTCTTCAAAACTTTTCCCCTGCTCTCATCTTCTCCGTTACATAATAAAATTTCTCCTTTTTCTTAAGAAACATCAATGGCTTGCTTAGAGGTGTGTAAGGAGGTCTGTAAGGGCTAAAGGACTCCTATTTTCTTCTCTTTACTACAAAAATCATTGAACAATATATTTCCTCCCCTAATCTTACTATCTATACATATATATATGTATATTTCTCAACCATCATTGTTCCGTTTTTCTTCTGATTCATTCATGCAATGTTAATATATTTGTTATTTTTTTTGGTCCCAAAAAGCAGGGGAAGTTGAAAGAGGAACAAGAGGCAGCATACACTCAAGATGGAACCATTGATTGGCATGGCCGCCCTGCAATCAAAGCAAAATCTGGACAATGGACTGCTGGAATTATCATTCTCTGTATGCTCCGAATTTCTCCACTAAATTAATTAGATAACCAATGATAATATTATTTTTAAATTACACTTCACTGTATATATATTTGCAATTTTCTGACACCATTTTCTTTCTTTATTATATATATCCTCAGCTAAGCTTAGCCCTTTTCAATTTTCTTATCACTAATAACAGTAAGGCCTCTGTGTGTCACTTTCCAAAGATCGATCTTTTACTGCTTCTGATCATCTTACTTCACTTGGATAGATGGGTCCAGAAACCATAGTCCTATGGATGCAATATGATTAATGGGGGCATATTTTATAATGCTTACTCCTAACGCACTAAAGAATATATCACCACCTATATTTCATTTCACACTTACATTCTTTTCCCAGTGAGTTTTTCATAATAGCAATAATATTATACGCCATTAATCCATGGGTCAATAGAACGATTGAATATATATGTCACCGTTTAGTCATATATAAAATATAAGGTTTATAATGGTAGGGGATGTATATTTCTAGAGAGTTATTGCTGCGAAATATCAAATATATACTTAATATAGAAAAGAAAAGGAAAGAGAAAAGAGAAATTATCCGTAGCTGCTTTGGGATAAGCTATCAAAAAGGAAAAGTGAGGTTCTCAGCCTTCAGAGAGGGAGAAAAAGACAATATAAATGTAGAAACGTGTAAGGTTTGGAACAGAAAACGATACCAAACCCAGGTGTCGAACTGTTGCATGTTTTCCTTGGAGTTTGAAGCTAAGAGCTAGGGGTGGCTTGGTTTGGATATCTGGCAGTTTGCCAGTGCTAAACTAGACCACATGCAAAGGACAAGGAACAGAAATTGAGAGAAAGCACGCAATTAGGGGAAAGACGTGCCTGACACCTAATCACCCCCTCGTGATTTTTGCATGACGTGGGTTCTTGCCACGTTACTATGTTGACTGTTGTGTCTAGTCTGGTTAAAAGAGAGAATTGAGAAATGAAATTGAATTCTTCTAGTTTTAATTTTGAATAATTAATTCATTAAGATTTTTTTATTAATTAATCTTAGAATTTATAATTGGATAACATTAGAACTAATTCATGCAAATAAATTTTTATTAAACACAATTACACGGCACTAAACTAAAATATTTAGAATTGATTCATGCAAATAATTAAATATGAAAATAATATATATAATAATAGGTTAATGACTTGACAAATCACTTGAAATAAACAATAGTGGAAGAAGAGAACAAGAAAAAAAAGACTTAACCATATGTATTTACAATGAACATGGACAAGTTTGAGTTGCTATTGCTCTTTCCTTTTTTTCTTTTTGTTTGGGTTTCATATATTGGATATTTTGTTTTAGCTCTAATCTTCATAGCTCGAGATGCCTTTGATATAGTTTTCAAGTTGCTAAATTTGTGATATATCAGTGCACATGAATAGTGAAAATTGATACGACAGAAGCATCAACCTAAACGAGAATGATTCAAAACTGATTTTCTTTTTCAGAACATGAGAGAAATGAGTTCATTTGCAAATGCAAAGAAAAGGAGAGGCCATCGCCATGATTATTACTAGTTGGGTACTTGTTGGGTGTTTGATCTTGAATGATATATTTTAGCCATGAGATCTGACTATAATCGAATGCTAGAAGAGTTTCTGAAAGCAATCATTCGCAGATTCCTAGGTTTTAGTTTTAGGTCTCATTCTTTGACCTAACTACCTAGGTGCATGTCCCTGAAGGAACCATCCCCTGATCTTGATGTGAAAGCCTCTCACTCTCTCACGTGTACCATTAAAAATCTTTATATCCAAAGAGTAAGTAACTTCTAAAATATCAAGTCTTTTTTTTTTTCTTACACGTCTCATTAATGTTTTTTTTTTCTTTTAATGAATTAACCAGTGAACCAAGGTTTGGCAACCCTAGCGTTCTTCGGGGTCGGGGTGAATTTGGTGCTTTTCCTTACAAGAGTGTTGGGGCAAAATAATGCTGATGCTGCAAATAATGTTAGCAAATGGACTGGAACTGTCTATATTTTTTCCCTGGTTGGTGCTTTCCTCAGCGATTCCTACTGGGGAAGATACAAAACCATTGCCATCTTTCAAGTCATTTTTGTTATTGTAAGTAACTCCCAACCTTTCATCATTTCTATTCCAGGGCTCCCCTGAAAAAGAAAACATGGGATATTTGCATAAATTTGAAAGTTCACAGGAATATCTTCAAAAGAGTAGGAAACAGAGCAAAATCATTTGGTCACGATCTTGCAACTGCATTCTAATTGTTTATGCCTGTAAACATTCCTAATGGTAGGGTTTGGTGTCGCTATCGCTATCATCATACCTTTTCTTGGTCAGACCAAGAGGCTGCGGAAATCAACAAATGCCATGTGGGTCACATTCAGGCTCGGAGATGGCGCTATTTTACCTCTCCATCTACCTAGTTGCACTAGGAAATGGAGGGTATCAACCTAACATTGCTACATTTGGGGCTGATCAGTTTGATGAAGACGACCCGCAGGAAGGGCACTCCAAGGTGGCCTTTTTCAGCTACTTCTACCTGGCTTTGAACCTGGGCTCCCTCTTTTCCAACACCGTTTTGGGGTATTTTGAGGATGACGGGATGTGGGCACTTGGATTCTGGGTGTCTGCAGGCTCTGCCTTCGCAGCACTTGTTTTGTTTCTGGCAGGAACCACCAGGTACAGGCACTTCAAACCAAGCGGAAATCCTCTCTCCAGGTTTTCTCAAGTCCTAGTGGCTGCAATAAAGAAATGCAGCATTGATATGCCACCAGACGCAGACCATTTGTATGATGTGGATGGAAATGATTCGACCATGAATGGAAACAGAAAGATTCTCCACACCGATGAATTCAAGTAAATAATATTAAAGCATAAACCAAGTTCAAGATTATATGGCTAATCAAAAGATAAATTACATCATGCTAATTATTAATTCATCTTGTATAGGTTCTTGGACAGAGCAGCATACATAAGTACAAGGGATGTTGATGACCAGAAGAAGGGCATTTACAGCCCATGGCGTCTCTGCCCTGTTACACAAGTGGAAGAAGTTAAATGCATACTAAGATTACTCCCAATTTGGCTCTGCACCATAATTTACTCGGTGGTTTTCACACAAATGGCCTCCCTCTTCGTTGAGCAAGGTGCTGCGATGAAAACTACCATCTCGAATTTCCGAATTCCTCCAGCAAGCATGTCCAGCTTCGACATTCTCAGTGTGGCAATTTTCATATTTCTTTACCGACGAGTTCTTGATCCAGTGGTGGTCAGGATAAGAAAAAAGGATTCCAGGGGACTTACCGAACTTCAAAGGATGGGCATTGGCCTTGTTATAGCCATATTGGCAATGGTTTCTGCTGGAATTGTGGAATGCTACAGACTAAAGTATGCCGACAAAGACTGCCTACATTGTGAAGGGTCAAGCTCCTTGAGCATCTTTTGGCAAGTTCCACAATACGCATTTATAGGAGCATCTGAAGTTTTTATGTATGTTGGTCAGCTGGAGTTCTTCAATGCACAGACGCCGGATGGATTGAAAAGCTTTGGCAGTGCCCTTTACATGACATCAATGTCACTAGGGAACTACGTAAGTAGCTTGCTTGTGACCATGGTTATGAAGATCTCAACTGAAGGTCACATGCCAGGATGGATCCCAGGCAATCTCAACAAGGGTCACCTAGATAGGTTTTACTTCCTCTTAGCTGGCCTAACAACAATTGACTTGGTTGTCCATATAGCATGTGCCCGGTTGTACAAGAGTATCAAGCTGGAAGGAAAAACTGCAGAAAATGATGAGCAAGGTAGCTTTTAAGTGTAATGTATATCCGTGCTCAAACATATAATAACATTATAAATTAAAACAATAATGTGGAATTGGGGACAGGGGTAGTCACTAGCACTATGTTGAGAGTTTATGTCGAAAGAAAAAAGTGGGTATTCTGAAAGAAACCGTTTTTCCTCTCAACTCTCTTAAATTCCTATCACTCTGACGCAGTTTTCATGTCATAGAGTTGAGTCGAAGATCTCATAGAGGCAGGAACTGACATGTGCTCCTAAGCTGCTATAATTGGATGGTTGTATCTCTCTGTAAATTGCAGTATGCTCTCTGCAGAAGAGAGCTACTCTTTTGAACATTAATGGACGTAAACTTTTCCTCAATATAACTTCTATTAAACGTTTTTCAGACCTTGGCAGCAACTGCATCCGAAGGTAAGTTTCAACTTTCAATCATAAATGACTCACACATCGTGACACGATAACAATAGAGATAAGTGCAGTTCAATTGGGTTTTCCTACCTTGGAAGAATGTCTTGATACGAAGGTCAATCATAAAAGAGGCGGAGTCATGGGAGGCAAAGTTCCACTTCCAATGTTACTTTGTATTAGTATACCTTCAAGTAGTTCAGGAATTCAACAGAAATATGGGAAAGAAGCTGCTCCTACGAGGAATTGGTACAGGGGAAAGCTATTCTGAGGATTCAAGCCGATAAGTTTATCATAACATGAGAACTGGTCCGTGATCACAAGTTATAACCAGAGTGCAATGGGAATGCCTTTGCTACATCTGAATTCTTTTATAATAAAAAATCTACTTCACATAAAAGTTTTCCGGTCAATAACTAGATTTTGTGTTTTCAATATCCCTAAAACAAAAAGATAAATTCTAATTATTACTTGGACATAAATTACAAAATTGTAATAAACTAAAACCATATGTCTATCATTTACCTACTCCATGGTAACTTCTATCACAAGAAAGTGTCTTCACTCTTCCCTCATAAAATCATGCTAGGACTTTTCGAACTTGGATGTGATGGGTGGATTCCTGACGCCAGATTGGTTGTGCGCCACTTTGGACAAGAGTAACATGCTCTCCCTCCTCCACCAAATTCTTGTCCTAAAGCATTGAAAATTTGTATGAGAGAAATGTTTGAGCATATGAAGTAATGATCCAACAGAAAAACCAATCAATGGCTGGGGACTAGTGGCAAAGGCTCTATCAACAAAAGAGAATGAGTTTGGATCTTGGGAGCAGTTTAGTCCATCTGTGAAGGGAATGAAACTCTTACCGTTCACTCTTGAACCACTGGCCTTTTACATCTACACTCTCAGGTATGGCTTAGTCTATCCTGAGGGAAAGCCAGCTCATTGCTGGCATGTTTTGTTTTGTCTAAGCCCCCTAAATTGGCTCCCCAACAGCTAGAAGCCATTGTAAGGAAACTAGATAGGATAGCCACCCATTGATCCTAACCCCAAGATGGGAAAATACTCTCTTAAAAAAAAACACTGTTAAGTGCTAACCATTAACAGCTTGAGTGCTCGGGAAAAGGTCTCCTCCACATCATCTGAAAACTGCATATATATGGGCATGACACCTTGATAAAGTGCCAGTCTCTGCTTAATTCTTTCCCTGCCAAGAATGAAAATTATGGCATAAAAGTGAGAACAGGGAATGGAAACAAGTTTTAATTTGAAATACCTAAGCAATTCTCAATTAAACTATCATTCATTGACTATATTAGCAGTTAATCTGTAGAGAGATTGTCAGGAATAATTTCCCCAAGGCAGTTTTACCAAAATCAGACATTAGAATTTTGTTGTACCAGCACTACAATGTATATGAAGCAAAGTTGCCAACATACGTGAACATAGATTTATTTACCAAACACAAGATATGTCAAAAACCAAATTGAAATAATAGGAAAAGAATAGTTTATGTAGTACAGCTACCAAAACTCACTCGTTTGTGAAGGCAAAGATTGATGAGGAAGGACGGTAATGACTTAATAGTATAGCCATGGATCCTGTTCTTGTAAAGACAATGATTGGAGTATCAAGGGTGTTCGCCATAGTTGTAGAATGGAAAGCAAACATTTCACCCATATGACTCTGCAAAAGAATGCCCTCAACGTGGTCAGATTATGAAAGCAAAATTAGGAAAGGAACTGGTTTAAAACAGGACTAGAGAAATTGAAAAATAAAAGAACTAGAAAGGTTCTTTCAGCTCTTTTCAGTCGATGCCGTATATCTATATTACCATGGCATAAGGCAACATGGAAACACACAACCTTGAATGACATGTAGCCAATTCCAAAATTTACCTTGTAAGCATTAAAACGAACTGGAGGCATGATACTGACTAGAAGACTTGACTCAGTCCTCAATGCCACAGTGTGCATAACTTTAACAGCTTTAATTGGATACCTTCAGTTGTTGTCATCAATGAAATAATTAGTAACTAATTTTTAAAGATGCAGATACCAATATAACAATGCCATAAGTTAAATGCTAGATTAAGCTATCTAAAATGAACGTAGATCAACAAATATTAGCATTTGGATGACCAGGACATCTAAAAACAGCAAGATCCTTCCCACTGGAGCTTTGCCAGGAACAAAGCCACAATTTGCAATATTCCATTTCAACTAAACCATGTTCATGCTACTTCAAAGCCCAGCAATGGAATAAAATACACTAGTTGATGGAACAATGAAAGCATCCACAATTCTTGCAGAAATCAGGAAACAATTACCTAATATTTCAGCCTGCAACTTCCTAAATTTATCACTTTTATGAGATAATGCCCATTCTACCTCCATTATAATACAAACAAATGAAAAGGGGGGGGGGGGGAAGAGGAAGAGATTAAAACATAATATTTCCTGGAAATATGTGACTGATTATTATTTAACAAATTTTAGCCAAGTTAACTCACTTTCCGTGTGCAGTTTCTCCAGAAAGCATAATTGCATCAGCACCTTCTCGAACAGCAATTGCAATGTCAGAAACTTCAGCTCTTGTTGGCGTAGGATGATTAATCATGCTTTCAAGCATGTTTGTCGCCACTATTACTGGTTTATGCATATTACGGCACCTTCTGATGATGTCTTCCTATAGAACGACAACAAGACAAGCTTTTATACATGGAAATGGAAAATGAATTAATCCTAGAATCTAAACTTAACTGGTCCGGGTAGGACATAATAACACTACTGTCTATGACTCTATAAGCCCTCAAATACAAATAATTCAAATGGTTTTAAAACTATTTTATGGCTTCTAAATTTACCTCATCGTATGATCCATGATTCTTTCTTTAATAGATCTGAAATTCAAAATGATCATATAATTTGTTTACAATTTAACAAGACAGTCATACTCTGTTACATGTTAACTTAATTCTTCCACAAATTTCTCAATTACTGAAAATATTATGATGTTTACAACACTTTATCATTCTCAGAATAGCACTTCATTGAAGATTTTTTGAAAAAAAAAATTATACAAGCATTTCTATTAGACCTATATTCTCATATTGAGAAAAAAGAAGATGCATATCAACAATTAAAAGTTACCTGCAATAAAGGGACCTCCTCAATTGGAAGTTCAGCTCCAAGGTCTCCTCGAGCAACCATTGCCTATAATGTCCGTGAAACCAGTTAAGTTTCAATTGATATCATTCAAACGCCAAAATCTCACTCTATGAGTCCTTCTAATGCTTTTTGAAACTATAAACACATTACTCAAGAATATCAAAACAAACCCCATCAGAAGCAGAAATTATTGAGTGTAGATTCGGTATAGAATCAGCACTTTCAATTTTCACAATAACATGAATGTCTGCATTGCAGCCTGCAAGAGAGTTTGGTAACAAAACAATCAGAACTGTAGAAGGCATCTATTATATACACCCTTCATAATTTAATGAGAAACTATGAAAAAAACTTTACCTTTAAGATAATCTTTCAACTCATGGACCACTTTAGCATCCTTGACAAAAGAAACAGCATAAAAATCAACTTGGTTGTCCACCCCAAATTTGATATCTTCCCAATCTTTATCTGTAAACATGAAGCACACCATCCAAATTAGCAAACAATATCGAACAAAATAGAACATGTTTAAGTAAAACTTCAAAGCAACAGCATCACATTTAAAACAGAAAATAACCTGTTATTGATGGCAGAGTTGCACTTTTTCCACGCACATTTAAATGGCGCCTTGATTTTAGTTCTCCACCATCAACTACTACACATTTAACCGAATCCTTTGTCTTTGACTTCACAGCTAATGACATCATTCCACCTGCCATATAGAGACACAAAGGAAATCATTAAGCTACACATACAAGTAAAAGCTTGAGAAAAATGCGTTTTTGATTGGTGAATGCTTCCTAGTTACAATCATTTGGATAGAAATTTAATTACACAAAGCTTAATAAAGACAAGCATATCATGGAAACGAATTTAAGGATATAACCAATTTGTCAGGGTCTTTCATGTTACAGATCAAATACATTAAATACAGCACAGCAAACAGAAAGAGGATACAAGACAAAGATTTTGTCTATTCCAAGAGGAAATGACATAACAAAACAATTGATTGCATCTTTAATAAGAACAATTCATAAAACTTATTCAATTGGTTCTAATTACACCACCATACATTCAAAACAAAGATTCTAAAACAAAAGACAAAACCCAGTTTCCAAAGACATCAAAATGGAATCTATTCTCACCATCTACCAATAGTATGTCTCCAACTTCCACATCGTTCACAAAGTCATCGTAGTTTACACTAACAGTATTTTCTTTGCAAACTCCTCTTCTGATAGTGAAATTAAATTCTTGCCCCTCTTTAAGCTGTATTGGTTGAGGAACATCGCCGCTTCTAACCTCAGGGCCCTAAATAAACAGCAAACCAACCATATCACAACCAATGGCTAATAGAAATCTAATTCTCAATCTACAAATGGAAACAAAACATCCAATTAAAATTTGGGTTTTGCTCTGCAGTGCCTAATTTGCATAGTAATCTTCGTTCAGTGCATTGGTCAGTCGACTGTTGCATTTAACATGAAAATATGTCAATAAATGGATACCTTAGTGTCCAACATTATGGCAATAACTTTGTCTTCAAATTGAGCATTGTATTCTTTAACGAGATCAATGGTTTTTTTATGGGAAGCATGATCTCCATGGGACATATTCAATCGTGCCACATTCATTCCAGCCTCAGCCAGTTTCCATATCATCTCACGTGAGCTCGTCGAAGGACCGATTGTACAAACAATCTTGGTTTTTCTTCGAGGGCTCGAGTTCCTTTTCACTTGTCCTAAAGCCCCGCTGTTTAACAGCTCAACCATAGAGTTCAGCTTGTCCTGGAAAGCCAATAATTGAAAACAACAACCATATAAAAAAAAATAATGAAGCGAAAAAGAAGTGTGTTTAAAAAATACAGAGGCAAGGGATAGAAGAACGAAACCCACGGCGTTAAAACGGCCGTTGGTGGAAGTAAGAGCGCCGGTTTGAGTGATTCTCATGGATCTGATAGAGAAAGATGCTTTTCCTTTACGGAAAAAGAGACGTCGTTTAGTCCGATTGATTCCGGATTCGAACAGAGAATGATCTGTTATGTTACGAAAAGACGATAAATCGGCGGCGGAAGCGTCAGTTAATGCAGTAATCGTCGCCATTTGGATTTGTTTCTGTTGTTTGTTTTGGAAGTGGAACAAAGGGAAGAAGAAGAAGCGAATTGAAACCAGACTCCTGAACAATACAGAGAGAGAGAAAGGAAAGTGACAACTGGAGATATTTCTAAAAGGGTAAAAGAATGCGAGGACCACAACGAGCTTGGGTTTTGAGATGGCAAAGCACACTTGTCTTGTCTCAGATATTATAAGATAGTTAGGGCTTAAGTTCTGCTGCTCCTGTTGGCTCAGAAAAAAATTATATTAAATTTATAGATTTTTATCAACGAAATTCAAATTTAAATTTCACCAATTTAACCAATTTCATTGATAAATCTTTTAATAAAATTTTGAAGAAAAATTTTACACTTTATTGTTTTGTTTTATGCATCCAGGTACAAAATTTGCAAAAAAAAAAAAAATCCAATGGAGCAGGTAAACCAACCTTGTCAGTAATATAAACCAAGGAGGATAGACACATTGACTCAGTTGGATAGACTCATCTTCCTTGTATATTGAACTTCAACCCAATCAACAGCTTTATTTGCTTTTCTAGTTAACTTTGCGAGCCCTGCCAGAGTATGCTTCACCATGGACATAATCTTCCACTCTGACTAAGGTCAGAACACAGATGCTTATGCAAAATAGTAGAATCTGTTTCCATGATTCTACTATTTGAAATTATAATATATTTATCAAAATGTATCATTATATATTTTTTATTATTCAAATAATTATCATTATATATTAGATGGTTAGATTGTTTCCTTTTTACCTTTCCAAAGATGGGTCTGTCATATGTGACTGTAGGACAGAAATACACCACGCTGGGTTCATAATAAACCCAAACCCAAATGCAAAGAAGAGATTGCTGACAAGAAAGTTAAACCCAAGTTCTAGTGGAAACTGGAAACTGCGGGTCCATTAGAACATTGCAATGATGAATTGAGGACTGGACTCGTTCCTTTAAACATGAGGCTCCTTCCTTCTTGCCTTTCCAAAGTCCCAAACCTAGCAAATTCATCACTTCGGCCTTAGATACGAGATTAATCTCTCCCTTTGCATTCTTAAAAGTCAGATTAATTTAATTTAGACATGATATAAAATTGCATGAAAAACGTATAGGACATGCTTGATAAAACTATAACCAGAAATAAAAAAAATGAAATAGATGGCATTAGTGCCACTCAATGAAGATGTCGTTTACTTAATTGGCTACATGGATCTCTGTTCTCCTAACCGGCTATGGTTAAAGAACTAGCGCAAAAGGCAGAAAATTACCTTTGTTGCCCATTGTTAATGTGCCGTAGAACATCGTGTTTCCAATTTTCTTGGCTCATTTAAGTTGCACATTTTGCAGTGTTCCGCATCTGAAAACAGTAATTCAGTTACTTGAAAAGTATGGAAAGTTGCCAGCTTAGTTCTGTCTCAAGCACATTTCTCGCATGGGGTATGGTCTCTCTCTCACAAGCGCAAGCACCCACATTTGCCCCTCTGCGCATATGTATATACACATATTTACATAAATTATAATCATTATAAAGCCAAAAAAATTCTCAGTCTAGACCGGATTCTTATCTCAGTTAGAGCTTTTTGTATTCAAGCAATAATTGTTAGTTGTTTGTGAAATGTTTTAAAAGCTGGAGTTTTGAGTTGATTTTCTTTCTATGAATTCCATTTTATCGGGGGAATCTCAGCAAGCAAGTCAACATCCTGAGGTTAGTTCACCGCCCTAAGTTTCTAGCCATGCCACTGGGTCTCAGCCGTTAGTTTCTTAAGTCATGTCAAACCTTCTCGACCATAGCTTAGAAAGATTGTAACACGATTCATAAGCAGCCTCTGGTACATCAAATACTACTTTGTTGGAGGATATGTTCAATTTGATGTACATCAAATGCCATTATTTTTCTCATCAAATGCTGTCTGTATACATTGAATATGATAGAGAATATTTCCTGTATTGCCTTCTCCAAAGCATTGGAAACACGTTTCTACTTTCTACCCTTGTCAGGTATGGCCACCAATTTCAAGGGGAAATTGTAGTGTTTCATCATTCGTTCCAGTTAGTTCTTCCTTTTTCTTCTACTGAAACAAGGAGGCATTTATGGCCACCAAACCAAGCTATGATCGCTTATAATTTATCTATTATTATTGGTTGTAGTGTTGACATGGGCTCTGGATTTTTGGATCTTTTTCCAAAGGTCAAGAAATGCTGGTTGTAGTATCAGTATGATTTTAGGGTTGCTTGCCGTTTACGAGTGTGATATATATAAATGAATTTAGCAAATTTAAAAAACTCATTCCAGTGTTATTGTAACACCCTAATACACATAAAGATCTATGATATATAAATAAAAATTTAAACTTAAAATTTGTGATATATTTTTGTAAAATAAATAGTAATACTTTTAGATCAAAATAAATAATACTTTATAGGTTGAATATACATATTTTTAATTATAATTATGTGAAAATTCATTTCACTCTTCCAAAAGTTGATAAAAACACGATTCGATTTTCGTAAGGAGAAAAGCGATTTTGTTGAAAGTGCTCCTGAGTCCTGAGCCATCAGCCACCATAGCACACACTATCAAACTGACCTGAGAATTTGAAGCGGAGGAGGTTTTCACTGTTATCCACTTGCCTAACAGTTAGAAAAGAAAATATATATTTCTATCTTGAAAAAGGTTGCTGCCATGTGACCTAACGGTCACGTTTCGAGTTATGGAAACAATTTTCTGACAAAAATGCAAAAAAAAATTTCGTATGATACATCTTTATCCAAATTTTGCACATAGGGAGAGTTTTGCGCACATGGCTGGCTTAGAAAAATTGAAACCAATGACAATTGACAATGGATAGGGTTGCTAACTTGGCTTAAAATTTTGATAATTTGAAATACGATGTGATGATACGATATAATATGAAAATAATACGAATAAAATATATAAAAATAATATAATTTAAAATTTTAATAAAAAATATAAATAAAATTAAAAATATATATTTTATATTTTTATATTGATACAAATTATAATATATAATTTTTATATAAAATATAATATAAATATAAAAATTATTAATATTTTAAATGATATACATAATTTATCAAATCTACTTAAGAATCGATAAATTTCATCCAAAAACTTACAAAACTTTCAAGATTGTCCTTAATCTCTCATTTTCTTGTTTTTGGTAAATAATCTGTCATTTCTTTTCTCTAATTAATTTTATTTAAAGTTACAATTCATCCTAATTATCATCATAAAAAACAATAGAATCCCTTTTTATCAACCATTTAAACTTAAAAAAGAGTCAAAATCAAAATCGTAGCTAGTTTAAAAGCAAAGTCTTGCATCCAGCGCCCAGTTGGTCTTCACTTTTTCTACGTGGCAGAAGCCCAATAAAAGACTGGGCCCTCCATCTGCTCGTCCCAGTTTTCCAAAAGACTGAACCCTCCATCATCGAGGCTAACATATATATTTTTATATATAAAGATGCGTGTGTACGTTGAGTTGCTTGGCGGAGGAACACAAAAAGAAGAAGAGAGCAATAACGCTAGCTCGGCACTCGATAAAACGGCCACCGCACCTTTACCCCTTCAACCGCTCCTTTGCCGCCGCTTAAATTTCCGAACCGCCAAACACCCAACCCCGATTGCCAAAAATATTAACAAAAGAAGGAATGGCTGCGATGATGACGTTACCTTCGCCGTCTAAAACATGGTCGTTTTGGTCGTTCTCTTCGTCTTCTTTCTTCACTCGTTTCTCTCTCAGCCACAAAAGCGTCGGTTTCAATGATTCTCGTTGTCGTATCTGTGCTTCTAACAGCTTTGTAAGATTATTTAATGTGATGCACGTGTGGGTATATGATGAACTCGACAGTGCATTTTTTTTAATTTTTTTTTCTTTGAATATTAGAAATGTGACCTGCCTCAACCAGTGAATTATGGAAATGGGAAGCCAACGATTCCAATCCTTAATGAAAGGACACTGCCCAAGTTCTTGGAATCAGCTCGAATGGAGACAGCTGTTAACAGAAATGGTGCCAAGCTCAAAGTGTTTTCCGGCACCGCCAATCCTGAACTTTCTCAGGTTATTGCATTACCATTTTGTGTATTATATTGCGTTCTATAGAATTCTTTTCACAGGTTTTACTTTCAATGATCATATATAAATGTATAAGATTAACAAGATGTAGACCTTAGTGCCTTGCAGCTGTTTGGTGATAGACTGAAAGTGTGAAAGGTGTTTCTAAAACTGCCTCATATTATGCCTGTTTGAATGCCATTCCTACAATTTGCCCTACGAAGATGTAACCATTAGAGCATGTTGTATCTTATCAAGCTTCACCTTCCTTTCTTGGTTTAAGCATTAGGATTACTCCTCTTCTCTGAACTTGAGCAATTATTCTTTCTTATTTCTTTGAACTTGTGTTTGCTCACTCTTTGTTGCAGGAAATTGCTTGGTGCATGGGTTTGCAGCTGGGAAAGATCAACATAAAGCGATTTGCTGATGGGGAAATTTATGTTCAGCTGCAAGAGAGTGTTAGAGGATGTGATGTATATTTAGTGCAACCAACATGCCCTCCTGCAAATGAGAATCTCATGGAGCTTCTCATAATGGTTGATGCTTGTCGGAGAGCATCGGCCAAAAATATCACTTTAGTGATTCCATATTTTGGTTATGCCAGAGCTGATAGAAAGGCAAGTTCAAATGCTTTGTATTTGCAATAAATTATCGAGGATGAAAATATGAGTATTTATGAGATGTCAGGGGCAAATAGAACGGATTAAAGTCTAACCACCTTAAGTAGCCTAGCGTGTGACATTTGTGTTATTTGTAATATCATAATCAGTAACAAAATTGTTGATTGAGTCAATGCCTTTGCTTCTTGCAGTTTTTATTTTAATAAGGAATGAACTTCTGAGGCTTTTGAATCATATTGTATTTTGATGGATGCTAAATGGTCTTCTCTATGTAATCTTTTTTTCAGACTCAAGGCCGTGAATCCATTGCAGCCAAACTGGTTGCAAATCTTATCACAGAAGCTGGTGCAAACCGTGTTCTTGCTTGTGACATTCATTCTGGGCAGTCCATGGGTTACTTTGATATTCCAGTGGACCATGTGTACTGTCAGGTATTCAGTCATCAAACTTCAAACTAATAATTGTTGACTGTCAATGACTATGTGATTACTAATTCTTCCATCTTTCTTTTTTTTTTTTTTTTGTGCTGTTGACTGTAGCCTGTGATTCTTGATTATCTTGCCAGCAAGAGAATTTGTTATGATGACTTGGTAGTGGTTTCACCTGATGTTGGTGGAGTAGCAAGAGCACGTGCTTTTGCAAAAAAACTATCAGATGCACCTTTAGCCATTGTGGATAAAAGGCGTCAAGGTCACAATGTTGCAGAGGTAATGCTTTCTCCACAACTCTGCTGTCATTATCTTTCTTCCCCGTTGATTGTGCTATTATATTTACTGTTATTCGAAGGTGTTTGAGATATGGTTAATAGAGGTTAAGACAGTATGTTATTGTGGAGGGATGTGGCAGCACATTTGGCAGCCATAATAGGGACAATTAGTTAGAAATATGTTGCACTTTTTTCCCTTGTTGAGTTGACATTTTGGTCTACCGAAATTGTTTCATTAATTGTTTAAGTTAATAATTGATATCAAGAAGTTTAACACATGGCGCAGGCTGATATCTGCAGCAAGTCTTTTAAATCCTCAGTTTGTGTTATATTTCTGGCTTTAGTTCGATAAGTATTACTTATTACATTATTAATGTCTCCATGCCTAATTTTTATTGTTCAGGTAATGAACCTTATTGGTGACGTAAAAGGAAAAGTTGCAGTTATGGTGGATGATATGATTGACACTGCTGGTGAGTGATAGCAATGAGAAGATGGCAAACAAAAAAATTTTCTTAATTGCAAATACACACTAATTTTGCTTATCATGATGTATTTGATGGTTAAATATGGCAAAAAAAACCCGTCAGTTAGATCTTTATTCAGTAAAGTTCTGTTCTGAGTATCTCCTCTAAATTATTTTCTTTTCTCTTCTAAAAAAAATGAACTTTTCCTCGTGATTTTCCTCTGCTGCTTTGAAAAATGGTCCTTTTTAACCATTGGCTTTGTTTTAAATTCAGTTTACGTATACTAGTGAATTTTCTGTGTTTTCTAGGAACGATTGCAAAAGGGGCTGCACTTTTACACCAAGAGGGGGCGAAGGAAGTTTATGCATGCTGTACCCATGCAGTTTTCAGGTTTTAACTTACTTTTGGCTGAACTAGGTAAAAGCTCATGTATAGTTGTTATATGTATCAACCTTTTCATTGATATGATTTCCTATTATTGTTCTTTCTTGGCAGTCCTCCTGCAATAGAGAGGTTATCAGGTGGCCTTTTTCAAGAAGTAATCATTACAAATACGCTTCCAATGGCAGAAAAGAATTACTTCCCTCAGCTAACAGTTCTTTCCGTGGCGAACCTGTTGGGTGAAACTATTTGGCGTGTTCATGATGATTGTTCCGTGAGTAGTATTTTTCAGTGAAATCAGATAGCGAATCCCAAAGGTGTTTTCTCCTTCAAATTTATTAATGTGCAATAAATGCCTTTGCTCCAGAGGTAAAAATGGCTGACGATCAGATAGGAATAAGTCTTAGATTCTTATCTCCAAAAGGGATGGAGAATCAACACATGGGTCTCATCTCTGTGGATCTGCATAATTTAGTTTCTTTTTTTGGGCTAAAATGCCTTTCATTTTATTCTTTATTAGAGGGATATCCTTTTTTTTTTATTCACCGGAAGCTATCTTATAATTTTTCCATTTACTTTGCATTAGTTGGATGTTCTTCCAAAACATCAACATAATGGGACATTAAAGCCCACCAATTGCAAACTGGCTGGTTCAAAACTTCAAATACATACAGGTGTCTGGTTCTTTTCTACAGAAAGTGCTAATTGTTTTTTATTTGCGACAGAATCATCCGACAACGTCCAAGATTATTTTATCTAAGCTCTCCAATTGCAATTTGGACAACATCCCAAGATTATTTTCAAGTCAAACAAGTCTCTGTCCTTGTCAAACTAGTTTGAACTGCATTTGAATCATGTAGTGTTATTGAATGGAGCATTTTCTATATGATTGAATGGCTGTTTTCTTTTCTTTTCTTTTCCGTTTTGCTTTTAGTCGAAATGCAGGTCGTGTATACGTATTTCCTAATTATCTGTTCATGGGCCGACTGGTCTGTCGGGCCTGCGAGCTTGGCGTCGGTCTGTCAGGCTTGTTCATCGACAGAATGATCTGTCAGGCCTGTGAGTTGGGCGTCTGTCTGTCAGGCTTGCGGGCTAGGCCTAGCCCAGATTCAGCTTTAGGTGATTTTTCAAGTTTGCATTGGTCCGTGAAGATATATTTTGTTATTATATAATTATTTTTTAAAATTTTAATTTAATTTAAAAAATAATTATAAATTTTTTAAATTGGTTATTTTATCGTAAGAACGATAACAGTTCAAATTAAATTTAATTTTTTTAAATAATATATAATTTTATAAAATTTTAAATTTTAATTTAAATTTGAATCAATTTTTTAAATAAATTCGATTCAATTTAAATTTTATCAATTTAATTTAATTATTTTTTTAATTTTTAATTTTAATTTTATATATTATTTTAATAAAATTTTTAATATATTTAAATAAATTTATATACAAAATTATTATTTTTATTTTACAAAAATTAAAATATATAAATATTAATAAAAATATTTTTTTATTTAATCAAAACTTTTTAAATTTTTTAAATTTCAATTTAAAATTTAACCCCAACTCAACATATATATATAAAATATATATATATTTAATATTTAAATTTAATTTTAGCATAATAAAATAAAAATAGAATCGAATCAAAAAAATACAATTTCGAAAAACGAATTGGTTTTCGGTTTTTTTTCTTTTGCCGGGCCTTTTTATGAGACTACTAGGGTTTGTCTCTGCATGTAAAAATACTCATTTTGCTGCTCAACTTCATCAACTCTTCAGCTTCGATTCACCGCCGGCTCTCCAAAACTTTCTCGATAAAGAAAATTTTTTTTCCTTTGGTGTCTGAAAAGTAATTGTAGTGATGAACCCTTTTCCGATTTTTGTTTTAAAATTTTTGAATTTCTTTTGAACAAAAAAGGGGAGAGAAATAAGTAAAAGCGATGTGACGATAGAAATTCAATGGTCTGTCAATCCACTGATCTAACAATTTGATGTTACATTGAAGTTCCGACAGGTTCTGATTGCTTTTTCTGCCTCCCTTACTCTTATAAATTTCTGTCATCGCCTTTGTCGTTTTTGATTTTGTTAGTTAAGATCTAGGCTTTGAACTTGTTTTACTGAATTGGGCATTTGATGAATCTCATTTTTAATGGGTAATTTGCGTCTGAAGTAGCATTTCTTTGATGCTAAATCACCTTGGAGACCTGATGCCCACTTTTTCAGCGTATTTGAAAACATTATTTTTGTTTAGAATTGAACTCAGATCTTATGCTAGCTCGTTGGAGCTATTGAAAGAACCTGTTTTTGCGTGCTAAGCTATTCAAGGTATATTTTTTCTTTAATTCCTTCTATCTGTTCGACTAATTTTCTATCAGGTCAATGTTTTTGGGCATTTGATGAATTCCCATATTTAATGGGTAATTTGTCTATATCGAATAAAACTAAATTGCAAGAACAGCTTATTAGAAACATTTATCATTAACAAAGAGCTGTTGTATAAAGTCAAGCAAGATTATGAATTAGAGCTTCATTTGATCCAACAGACCTTTCCCATCAAGTCTGCTGCTTATTGTCAGTCTCACGAACTCCTCATGTGGGATAGTCCTGTACCCTGCTTTGCTTGTCTTGACAAGATCGGGCAAGGGACCAATCTTGGTACTTACGTTTGGACTGTGAAATGCCGCAATTGACAGCCGCTCTTTGTCTGGATTAATGACAGCTCTATGCTCTATGCTTTTATATTCTCCATTGCTCATAATCTGCATTAATAAGATCCCTTTGCTTAGGCACACTATATATACAATCGTCCAGTCCAAGTATGTTTAATATATTACTTCTATTATATTACCTCGATCACGTCTCCAATATTGATGATAAATGCGCCAGGGATGGGTTTAACAGGCACCCATTCGCCATTTTTCTTGATTTGTAAACCTTCAACATCATTCACCTGAATCAAGAGTGTTAAGGCAGTAGCGTCAGAGTGTGATGCGAGACCAATAACCCTGCTTGCTTCAGCACAAGGTGGATAATAGTTCATTCTTATTCCCTGTGTTCCATCCTCAAAAAAGCTTGCAAGCGACTCAGGGTCAGTCCCCAGGTTCTTTGCTATCAGCATCAAGAGATGAATTGTAACCTTTTGTAACTCCATTGAGTACTTATCCAATGTTTCTCTGCTAACCGCAAGTTACAGAAAATTAATACCTTTTGCTATTATGGGCATATTTTCTAATTGATTTGATTCGGGGTAAGTTGCTCGCTGGTGTGGTTCAGAATAATGTCATGTTCATAGCGACAGCATTTACCTGAATGAATTTGGGGTGGTCGGCCAGAATCTCATATTTCTTAGGGGCATCGGCAAGGGATAAAGGAAGAGCATGTCACCCCAATCAAGCTTCTGGTTTTCTGACACTACGAAGGCTTGGCCATAGCCTTCAATGTTATTTGGTAGCTGTGCACAAGCCATCTTCTTCTCCAATGGCAACTTAAAGAACTCTTGTACGTCAATCTTCAGTTTCTCTATTACTTCATCTCGTACCCCATGATTGATTAACTGTTTCACCATTAATAAGATACTAGTAAGGCGATCATTGTTAAAAGTTACCAGTCACTGAGAATTCTGTTGAGATTAGGTACCTGGAAGAAGCCCCATTGTTTGCAAGCCAAATGGAGTTTTCTCTGTTCATCATCATGGCCTAGTGTAATCATGTCAATCACTGGAATCTTAAGGGACTCATCGATGGAAACTACATCGAACTCAACCTCTGGCCTGATGTACCTGGATGGGATGTCTTTCAGTTTCTTGGATGCAAGAGCTTGGACATTCTCAACAGGTAAAGAACCACCAAATCCGTCTCTGCTAAGCACCTCTGTTTCCATTTCTGTAAAGCTTTCAAGTTCTAAATACTACAGTCTGATTTCTGTTCATATGCTAAATACTACAGTTCGGTAATTTCTAAGCATCGTTGGCTTCTTGTCCGTCCATGAGCTAATCCATTTCAGGACCAAAGCATTTGTCCTTTATGAATCCAAAATATATCTTTTTTTCTGTTTTTAAGAGTTTGCCGTCCCTTAATAGCTAACATTGAAAGCCAATGAGAAAAGGTCAAAGCAAACGAAATGTCATTATTAGCTTCTGGAGTTTCTTTATCGGTTACACCTACCTCTATCTTTGTTTGTAATCAATTCTTTGGAAATCTAAATTTAGACTTAGGAACAACAATATTTTCTTACCAGATCCAGTAGAAAGAGGAATCCACGTAAGTCAGTTTAACATCTTTTAACTTAGAGGGGGCCAACAGCCTTTCTTGGACTAAACATTTGGGCGTAGAAAAGCTTTATGCAAACGAAGAGACCATTGGATCTGAGGTTTGTTGTTCTAGAGATTTACAGGACTTATTATAATCAGTATATTTAATTATGAGTTTGAATATGCTTTTATAACTAGGATTTGTTGTTTCCATGCTTTCTTCGGATTATGAAAACACACATTTGATTATGTTTTTGTGAGTTTTTTATGAAGTGAAATTGTACCTTGAGCAAAACGAATGCAATGCAAATTCCCTTTTAAATTGTCTCAACAAGAGATGTTATATTGGCCATGATGTCGTGATTGGGAAGATATGGAGTGCTTGTAGAGGCGCCCAAGGGAGGGTCTTCAGTTTGCGGGATAACTTGCTTTAAACTCCAAGTGTTGAGCTCTGGTGCCACTCTTATTTATATGTTTCCAATACTTTACATTACTGCCAAATGATAAAAGCACAGGCCATAAAATCCCGGTTGACAGGGTTGAATAAATTTATCCCGAAGGTTAACCTGTTTTTGAATTCAAATAAATTGCATACCCTGTATCAGTTTAGAGTTCATTTGGGAGAATGGGTCCAATGCGATTTAGGAGGATTATCCATTGAGTCCTCTTAAACAACGTTAGACTCGTGCTCCCTAACAGCCCTTTAGTACTTGTTTGTTTTAATGCTACAAGGCAACTGGGAGAGTTCCTACTCAAACACACACTGTCCTGTTGTACAAAATGGCACCTTAAACTGATGGAATTTAGCAAGTTTATTGCTCACATTAGATTGTCAAATTTCACTTGAGTACCAGGATTCTGCCATCGGTTCTTGGCAATGGCTAACAATTTACAGTAAGTTTGTTTTCCTTCATTTTTTTTTTCTAATGCAATCCTTTTTTTCACCATTTTAATGCCTATATTCTATTATATCACGAGTTCTTCAGAATTAAGTATAATATTTACAGATAACCTCTCATATGCTTCATGGTTCATGCTCTCATGCGCTCTTCATGACAATCTCGGATTTGGTCAGATGTTATGCTCACAGTTATGCCATCACTATTTCATGTATGAGCGAGCAACCTTGCCTAGGGACTCTAGACCTTTCAGCTTCAGTTGTAGTATGTGGTGCTTGTTATTGACTTTTTCAGAATCTCTCACCATTCAAGTGTACAATGTTTTGAGAATTACATCTAACTAAAGTTGATGTTCTACTTGGGTGAGTGGTGGATGGTTTGAGAAACATAAGAGTACTGGAATGGTAAATTTGGCTTGGACCATGTCGAATATGCTGAATCAGTTTAAATATAGTTTTCACGAATGGATGGATTTCTTGATCCAATAATCTTGTTTGTGGCATTTCAAATATCGGACAGGAGGATAAAACTGAAGTCGCAAAAATAGTTCAGAAGTATTTAACATAGACACAGCCGTATAAATTCAACTAAGATTTTGAATTAGAGCTTCATTTGATTTAACGGCCCTTTCCCATTGAGTTGCTGCATGTTTTCAGTCAAAGGAACTCCTCAAGTGGTATAGTCCTGTACTGTGCTTTGTTTGCCTTAACAAGATCTGGCAAAGGACCAATTTTGGTACTCATGATTGGACGGTGAAAGCTGCAACTGACAGCCGCTCTTTGTCTGGATTAAGGACAGCTCTATGCTCTATGCTTTTATACTCTCCATTGCTCATAATCTCAATTAATAATATCGCTTTGCTTAGGCACATTATATGTGCAATCCGTCAAGTCCAAGTCTACTGTTATATTACCTCGATCATGTCTCCAATATTATGATAAATGCGCCAGGGATGGGATTAAAAGGCACCCATTTGCCACTTTTCTTGATTTGTAATTCCACAACTGAATCAAGAGCGTTAAGCCAGTAGCGTCAGAGTGTGGTCCTAGACCAAAAACCTTGCTTACCTGTGCACAGGGTGGATAATAGTTCATTCTTATTCCTTGTGTTCCATCCTCAAAAAAGCTTGTAAACGTCTCAGGATCAGTCCCCAAGTTCTTCGCCATCAGGCTCAAGAGATGAATTGTAACCTTTTACAACTCCATCGAGTACTTATCCAAGGTCGCTCTGAAAACCAGAAAGTAATGGCCATGAAGTTGAAGGATTACCAAGAGGCTTTATTCAAATAAGACGTAACATGGGGCAAAGGACAAAGAAAGCAAAATGCTAGCTTCTAGAGTTTCTTTATTAGTTACACCTAACTAATTCTTACCCTGGAGGTAAGTAGCCATAAACAGGAAGTGAAAAAATCAACAACTAATCAACCACTGGTGGTAAAGACATGACTGAGAAATAGAATTTTCTCAAAAATTGCAGATACGAAACCAGCAGAAACTTCTCATTTGCATTTCCTTTACCAAATATTCAGATTAATTGGCTGATTGACGAACTGAAAGTGGTCAAATTCACCATATTTTGAGGAAGAAAAATTGTATAGCAATTGGCAAATTAAGGCGTGGATAGCCTTGAGCTGTTTCTTTATTGCAACAGGTTTATGACATTTTTACATCACCTAAGGGTTGACAAACCTACAATTCTTTCTAATTTCTCCTTCATTTCCAGTGAGTACATTTATATTGCCCATCTTAACAACTGAATACGCAAATGAAGTAAAGAAAAGCTCTTGATTAGAGGCAAAAGCCCACACCAGCTTTCTTATCTTCCCTTCATGGTCTTCAGTGACTAAAATATTATCAGATCCTAATAAACCCTTTCCTTCAACAATGTTAATGTAATAATGATTGTCAAACTTTGTAGGAGTTGAAAAATCAAGAGGTACAGTTGCATCATCCCTTCCAGAATTGGGGCATATGGACCGTAGGATTCTTCGAAAATTTTTGTATCTTCTGTATTTATCATACTTTTCTTCTATGTTTATGTCGTACGCCCTTTGTCTGAAACTCAAACATCTTGCCTTTCCAATTGTGTGGCTACCTGATGACAAGCACTTGAAAACGTCAATGTGTTACTTTTATTTCATTAATCAAAGGATTGGGAAGTAAAGAATTATAATATTCACAGGAAGAGGCAGCAAAAATTAGAAACTTTAGCTCAAGGAAGCTGAGGTACTAATAATTAAGCACTACTATATAGTTTTAAGGATTGAGAATCTGACCTGACAACGCAACCAAGTCTTCTATGTCAAGACCTTGTTGGTTAAAGTTGGCAATGAGAGACTCCAGAGAGGAATTTGGAGCAGGAAGGAACTTGTTTGCACCATCAAAGCTTGCCTTCAGGGAGTCTTTCCTCCCTAACAAAACTTTCCACCTCGGACCTCCTCTCTAATGAAACACAATATTCGGTTACCAAGATGGTATTATCATCGTTGCATCACATCACATACTATATATTAGACATTAGCGGTTGGCCCAATTTTTTACTCCATTTTCAGGGTTTTTTTAATTTTTTATATATATTTTAAATTCGAATTCTCAATGTTATGGTTCATATAAAATTACTAATGTAATATAAAATAATTAAGTCATTACATTTTTCTGTAATTTTTAAGGATTTTTTCAAGCATTGAGTTTGTTAATTCTATAGTGAAAAGAAAAAAAATATCAGAGATTTGTTTATAAATTTTTTGCATTTTAAGTTTAAAAAAATGTGAATAAGATATATAATTTGTACTTGAATTTTTAAATAATGTATCAGTTTATTTTAAATTTTAATATTATTATTTTAATTAATCTATATAATATTTAACTAGTATAATTTTATTATATATCTATCATCTGTTAAATAAACATTAAATATTTTATAAAATTTTCATGTATTTATCATGTAGATGTTATGTGATAACAACAATTGATTAATCTTTGATAAATATTTTTATGATTTAGATAAAAAAATGTAATTTATATTAAAAAAATATTGATAGTGTACATGAAAAACGCATAACTTAATAATATTTATGAAAGCTATATATATAAATTGATGGAGTTAGTGGGATTATAATTTGAGTTAATAAAATGCATAATTTAAAAAGTTTAAATTACAAATTATATTTTTTTTAAATACCAATTTGTATATATTTTATTAAACTTTTAAATACCAGAAACATAATTAACTAAAATTAGAAATTCAAGTCAAATTTGTTATAGATCTTCAACAGCAAGTGTCAAAATGCCAGAAAATAGATTTATTAATAGATAAAGCAATACCGAAGCGACGGCATCACGAGCAGCCATGGCTAAAACATCAGCACAGGAGACAGTTAGGGGACAAGCCTTTTCCAAAATGTACTTGATCTCATCAATGACCTCGAATCCACGTAAAGAGTTAAGGTTCGGTACTGCTTGCTTTTCACTAACAATGTCTCCATAGTTGTCTAGAAGAACTGATGCATCACATCCCTGTGACTTGATGAAATAATAACCATTAATATCTGATGTACTCTATTAACCCTTCTAGTTTTTCATGTTTATGATCCGGAGATGAAGAGAAAAGAAATCTAACCATGACAAAGCAATCATGAAAGTGCAAGCGAAGGAGGAAGGCAGCCATTCGAGGATTTTTGAGCACTGCAACCTCAACATTTCGGCTCACAATCTCTTCTGCTAAGGGGCATGTTTCTTTGTAGTAATCAAGAATCAGGAGTCCTTCATCACTCAATATTTTAACCGCATTTAAAACCAAAACCAGTAACACAAAGAGTGCTTTAATAATCTCCATTGAAGTAAATGAGAAAATACTGCATGTAAAAATTTAGCTGGCTTAGGTTATATGTTGCATGGGGTAGGAATGTTGTAGCAACATATCAATTGACAGTGATGTTTTCTTGTACCGTTAGTGTCTCTTCTATGTTTTTCAAGCCAACTTACCATAAGTAATTCCTTCAAGCTCTTAATCAAAGTGGATACAACTAACCCAACCTAACCGTTCTGTGTCTTTTTATTTTTTTATTCTGTCTTCCAGATCATAAGGTGGTTTGTTCCCAATCTTACCACTACTATCAGCGTGAATGGTCTGGTGCAAAACGAATATGTATTCAAGCTTAACATCTTGTGGTGTTTTTAAAATCATTAAATGGTCAATTTATGGTTCTGTCTAACTCTGAAACTTTTCCATGATTCTGAATTTTCAGTAACAACTTCGGAAAATGCCAATTTACTTTATAATATCACCAAATTTTGGCTTAAACTGTCCTTTTTTTTAAGGAACAAGTCCACATGTACATTGAATGCTTCCAAAATTTGCACCAGTAAAGAGCGAGATAAGAGTAACTAGACATGCTGGAACATGAATTATGTACATTATAAAAGGACTGTAAAGGTAACATGACTGTCTATAATTAGAACTAATCCTTTAAAAAGGTAGAAATAGAAACTTAAATCGACTAGACTATAATATACAGATGGAGATTACAGCATGACTAAGAAATAGATCCTATACTAAAAAAACATCACTCTTTTAAGCCATTCTAGCCAAGGGAAAAAGAAGAAAAGAATATTAGTCTCTATACATTCACCCCACCATAAAGTCAAGTTTTAAAGCTGTTGTTAAATGCACACCACATAGCCTGGCTCCTGCCTCTACGAATTACTTAATCCTGCAGTCATCCCTTGAAGGCAATGCAAGCTGGTGTATTTCCTGAATTCTATGTTATTGATATATATGCTTATGTGCCATCTTGGAATGCATTTCTGGAAGAAACACCTGTCTTTCGCCTCACTGAGTAATTTGGTATCCTGCTTCAGGAATAATGCATGTAATTAGACATACAAGGCATAAAGAAGCAACAGAAAGCTGTTTCTCTATCACCTAGTCACTGAAAGAGCAGTTGCTGTGTATCATTGAATATCAAATGAGAGCAATAATATCCTTTTTCAAAAGTCTTTACAGGATCATCATATCATGACTTAACCATTATCCAAAAACCAGAGGGAAAATGGAGAAGAGAAAATGGCTTTGATTAATATTCAGGTTGGCAACCTTATGGGTAGAAAAGGTCTATACGAAGATTCACCCAATAGTTGGTCCAAACTTATGATAAATCCTTTTCCATTATTATTCATGATCAGTATATTTGAATATATAAACACTTAATGCTGATTTTTTGCCAGGCTAAAAACTCAGCACTGCCTCGTTTTAGTATTGTAAATGAAAGTGAAGGTACATAACACATTGGCTACAACTTTGTTCTGATTCCTAGCACAGAGAGGACAGTCATCAGGACACTTGTTTGCTTCAAAACTGATTAATTGTTAAGGTTGATTACCTGGTTTCTGCTAAAGCTCTTATTCTCCACTTTCATCAAAGAAAATCTCAGGATGGACAGCAGCAGTGCTAACATTGAGGACCCTTTGCAACTTCCGATGATCCAAGACTTCAACTTCGACTAAGAACATTGAACTGACTGGTCGATGATCTGAGAGTCTTATTTCTGCTCGTTGATAACAAAGTTGTTTTATGCCTTTTCCTGACCAGAGTATACGATCACACCTAACAAGGGAAATATACACATCATAAGCAATTGAAAGGGTGGAAATTTATGAATTACCGGTGACATTGTGCCAGATATGTTGAGTTTCCGGAAACCCTTTCTAACTTTAATGTCAGATTCTTGTCCAGCTACTTTATAGAACTTGTGCTTACCATGCTGGAGATCTCTTCTTCTCCCCTTCTTTAGGGATCTCACCAACATATCTGTCAGAATTCATTTCATACTTGTAGGTGGGAGGAAAGTCTATTACCCCCTCTTTCCATCCATCAAATACATGCCCGCTACGCAGTTCTTTATGAAGCTGTGGCACAGAATTGAAGCCATTCTCATCAAAATAGAATATATTTAGAAGGAAAAAATAATACGGATATGTTACCCAGCAAGAAAGGAACTTAAAGAGAAATAGGGATGATACAGTTGAATTTTATTTGCTAACCATACAATGAAGAAAATTATTGTGCCAACTGATGACTATTGACAACTGTATCCACAAAACTTAAACCTGATACTTCATCAGTTTCTACCCAAAAAAACTCCAAGATTGGATTTACTTTTGGTTCAAAAACAGTATGATGTCTTATAGATCACATCCTTTGAAAATTTAGTAGAGTTTCTCTTCCCTAACAGGTAACCAGGTCCTTTTTACCAATGATCAAATCTAAAGCATACGTGTAACACACAAGTTAGAGCAACTATTGCACTATTGCATTCAACATACAGTGTTGTTCTGTTTCAGTTCAGATGAAGACACAGTACTTGTGACCAAAAGGCTCAGAAGGTTCAAACAAGTTTGTATACTAGGGAAAAACTAGATCTCCGTGATACTCACCTGATCATTGTTGATTATTTCATCCCAGCGCTTTAGAGCAACAAGCTTTCTCACCTCCACATCCAACATATTGAGACGATAATTCAAATCTCCAAACCAAAATATCTGACTGTTTAGAGAAGCAGCCATTTACAAATTAATGTCTCAGGTTTAATATGTTGAGAATATAATCATAAGAAGAAAATTTCTCAACCATCAAAGTTACTCAATAATTTGGAAATGGTTAGTGATAAAAGCTTCCTAAAATCTTAAGTTCTTGGAGTTTGCTGAAAATTACAGCATCACTTCAAGTCCAACTTCTTTTGTTTTCTTGATTAATATCTAGTTAACCTTATGCCACTTAAAGTTAAATTTTCCCTTCAATTTCTGTGGTGCTGCATCTCTACATAACAGTTAGAACGTAAAGTAGAAACAAAGAATGTAGGCCATAACCAAAATTAAGTATAAATTGAAAAGAATCAAATTAGGTGCTGAAATTTGCTTACTCATGAGAAGGAATTGTTTGTGGTTGATCTGCATCGAGGACAGATGAGAAACGGGTACGTCGTAAAATTTCATAGACATCAGAGTTACGCCTCTGTTCTGCTCCGTCCTTCTGACCTGATGTCAGATGAGAACACACAAAGCACAGCCTGGATTGAAAAAGAGTCATGCTAACAGAAACAGATCCCTGCAAAAGCAAAATCCAAGGCATTCAATAATAGTAAAGCAGTCATTTTCAGTGATTGATTAGTCCTAATTGTAAAATGCCATCCTCCTTGCAGCTAACTACACATTGCAACACACCAAAATATGGAGGGCATAGATTTCATCAGTCTAAAAACAAACCAATTGAAGCTCGGTGTCAAATTGAAATGAGGGAAGCATCCCTCCATTGACTGATGCTACCCAATGTAGTTCACTGCACAAATATTTACAGAATCTACAAGCACCATAATTGAGGTACCAAAGACATCTCCAAAAAGCCTGATCCATTCCTGTAATAGAAAAATAGTCATTACCTTGTTTCCCATGTAGCCCATAAGACCAACTCCAACAGGAGAGACTTTCAAATTATTTACATGTCTCCTCAGCCTCTTTCGCACCCAGACAGATATGTATATTCCAACCATCTGCTTGCTAACTATCCGCATGTACTTTCGGCATGACCTTGCCCTATCATTGTCATGTTGGTCCATATGCACTTCTAAGAAAGTATCATCCTCCTCTTCTGAAAACTCATCAGATATCTCAGAGAAAGAATCAACAACTTCTAGCTTCTGTCGGTCATGCACCAACATTGACCCTAGGTTTCCATAGCTATGGTGTGATCTTTTCAATCTGCTTCCTTTTAACAGCACATCATGAGGACTGCAGAAGATGGAGTTTTCTATCAGATTAAAGCCAATTCTTGCTGAGCTGCTCAGTACTCTCCGCAATTTTGAATTTGAAGAGACAACTTGTGGGGTTGCATCTAATGAAAGTTCAGGCCAGTCTAACCTAGTGTCACAATCGACACCATATATTCTCTTCAGCTGTAAATTTTGTCCAATATCAGCAACTTTAATCAAATCTTGTCCTTCAAAGTCATAGCCGTTAGCAGTTTCCAAATACTCATCACACATCATTTCCATTGGCAGAGCATCTATCTCATCTACTAATACATCTGCAACTGAAGAAGTCCTTAACACAGGAGAAGGTGGGGCACTATAGCATTTGTGCTTGCTTTCAGGTTCCAAAGATTTGTTCAGAGTTCTTCGTATGATTGCCTCCCATTTAGGAATTGGCCTGCTATCTTCAGCTCCCAGTACATTTCCAGCATTCAAAGGGACTACCTCCTGGAAGCTGTCCAAAGCAATCTAATATTAGAATACTAGACTTAAAAATGAAACATCTAACATCAAAATCAAATAGTCAAATAGTCAAATAACAACCAACATTTGAGAAAGAAATCTAGACGACAGTATCAAAAGTTCTGAGGAGTTATCATTGGTCGGCATATTTGACAGAATCCTATGCAGTAGCCACTAAATCCTCCAGGACATGATGGGATTCTTGCTGGATTTGTTGATTTTAGAACACTAGGACTAGGAAGCCAGTAACATTTATAATTCAAGGACAAAGTAATTTAACTAAAAACTGCAATTTATCTTTTAGTGACATTTCTGCTGACTGATTTGCTGGAGTAGTATTATGAAGTAAAATTCCTTAAACAGAATTTGGCACCAGAAATACATGCTGACAACCAAAGACAGCCTAAATCTAGATCCAAATTTCCATCGTGACTATAATTATTTGGAGGAGCCAATCGAGAAACGAGAAGGTTGATTCCAAATTAGAAGCTGACTTATGGATGTGATTATGGTCTAACAAAGTTGTTGGTCCATGACCAGCATCAGATAGAGAAAAAAACATAAATAACTCGCAGATGCACATGGTGCTTACACCGCCACAACAGGCAAAGATGAGGAAGATTAAATGAATGAGCATCAAAGTTTCTAAAGATTTTATTAAATTTTTGTAAAACCTAGAATAATATAAGATCTAACAGGGAAATGAAATACTCACCCGATAATGTAAATATCCGCAGGCTCTTCCGTGCAAAGCCAATCATCAATCTCAAGATCCTCACATGGAAGTCTTCCAGCAACATTCCAAGTACCTATTGTCACCCTATAGGCAACCACGATATGTTTCAATAAGAATTAAAACAGCAACACCTTAAGGCTTATACTTTAAGCATAAGCATCTTGCAGCCAAACCTCACATCCTTTGTATTTATGTACTGTGCACGCAGAGTTTCTGATTTTCCCCTCCTGTGTCTTAATCGATAACCCTTAGAAGGTGCATCTGAATAATTAAACATCAAAACCATAAAAAACAACTTTAGACCAACAAATTATTAGATAACAGCAGCAAATAAGAGTCATTTACTAAAAATTAATTCGGCTCATATTTTGATCTCCATCAAATTTTGTCCCTTTGCCTCCGTATCACCCAAAATTTACATGGATGATTAAGAACCAAGGCCATCGAAAGGCCACATCAAAAGAAATCAATATACACCATATAGCTGGAAATAGCAGATATATTTTAATAATGAGCCTACTAAAACAAGCACAACAGAAGGAACAAGAAGAATCAGCATAGATGAGTTTGAATATGCTCTAAAGCTCAAATAAACATTCAAGGAAGAAGTTTTATTTTAACAAGGCAAAGCACAGATGTAGAAAACAACTATTGCCTGAAATTTGGCTTCTGCATTCAGATAGGTTTCCAAGTGTCCTATGGGTATGATCCTTACTGCCGCGCATTCTTGAATCTTTAACAGAGTAAGCTGGATGGAAATTGCAGAAAAGCATCATAAAAAAAACAGAAAGTAAAAGGAAAGATATGTTGTTAAATATGATATGACAATACCATCATCTTCACTCTCAGTTTCAGTGTCAACCTCGTCTTCACTAAAATCATACACCTTTGGCTTTATATTCAACCATTTCTTCATCACAATGGATGGCCAAAAGGCCTGAAATAAAAAACAACTGACCCAGTTAATTATGAAAACATCACTTTTATCTAAACTGCAAATTTGTATAAAAGCAAAAACCAATGAGCACTAAAACATACCTCAGAACGCTTTCCCCACCTAGTTTTCATGGCCTTTTTATCAAAATTTGAGAATAGAAAGCCTACAAAAACTCAAATAGTAAGCTTTCAAAGAACTGGTCCTTGACCTCGAGAATGGAAGCAGGGAGCAGGAGTCTGATTGTCACTGTTGTAGGAGATTAATATATAGAATTACACAACCCATTACACACAAAGGCCTAAAGTCGGCTTATTGGATGCCAAGCACAAGGAAGATTCATGCTAGGACCAAACAGAAGAAGACAGCAAAACTATGGCCATGTTTCACAGACATCCACAACCTCAACTTGCAAAAATAGAATTCTCAATGTTCCTCTTCCCACACGTCCCAATTTTCTGCTATAAAACGGCAAAAGCAGCAAGTCATAATATTATAAAATATTCAATAATACCCCCAAATATCATTCTCATAAAAATCAAAATGTCACTTTCAATACAACAAAACTATAGACCTAAATCAATCGATTATGCAACGCTTTATATTCAAGGAATGCACTGGTCAAGAAATCCATTGGAGATGTAAACAAACAGCAAACTGGTGATATACAATTATAAAAGTAAAATCACTGGCTCTTAATCACACTTAAGAACCCAGATCATCAAAATAATCCTTTAATAACGAAAGAAATTTCCAACCACAAATGTTGAAAACAAATTTAGAAACTCGATGACATGACGTAAATTTCAAAGAAAAACACCGATTAAGACAAGCAAACTATAAATTTCAGAAAAGAAAAAAGACAAGAACTCATAAATGAGAAATAAAAACTGATCGTCATACCATAAGCAGCCAAGATTTGGTTAGAAAAAAATATATATAACTTGAAGCAATCCAACTAAACAAAATGAAAGGTTGACACTGGACACTTAAACCATACGAGTTCAAGTCAAATGGGTAATTGGCACAAAGTAAAACAAGCATTTAATCAACAACAGCTGTAGACCCAATTGGTGGGACGGTTTCATGCAACTCATATCTTTTATAAATAGGTTTCAAGTAAACCATATTGCAATTATGCATGAAAAAATAAGATTAGATGTTTGAAAATTTGACGTATGAACTGTGACAAAAGGGACCACATGAGTTGATCGTTGGTTCACCGCACTATATGCGAAGATAAAGAGCTCCAGGTTTCAAACTGAAAAGAACCATCTGTTTTATTCCACTTTAAAAAAAGACTTTTACATTATTTCTTTTTTTTTTTTTTGGGTTTTAATGATGGGATTATGAGGACACTTTGACAACTGCCATGCAAAGAACAATATGGCTAAACAGGAAAGGCAGGCAAAGGGAAGTAGGGTTCCATTTTTTGGTGCAGACTAGGGTGATTACAACTTGTTTCCAGGTTCAAGTTGGATTTCCGTTCCAACCTCAGCATCTATCAATGTTTCACTTTCAAGTTTTAAGGGTTCAATTATTTTTCAAACAAAGAGTACAAAATTCTTAATCCTGTATAGCTGGAAAACGTGTCAATCCAGCTCAGCTCCTAATAGTCACATAATATATATCTGACAATAAGTTAAAAAGGCAAATCTAAGCTTCTTTTTTTCAATAAAAATTGCTAACAAGAACAAAAAAAAAAAAAAAGTTTAAGAACAGAACCCAAGGAAACACCAATCCAAAAAAGATCATTTATTAATTAAGTACATTAAAAATTAACCTATATCCATCATCTAATATTGGGTCGGAATTTTTGTTGATATAATAGTACTAAATTAGATAAATGTTAAAAAAATGTCCCAATGAATATTAAAGTAAATCATTCCCCTTAATTACACATCTTTATAAAGTAATATTAAAAAAATATTTTTACCAACAATCACATGATTTATTGAGAATTATTAAAATTCAATTCTTAACATCCTCCTTTATAAAATAAAAAAATAAAAAATAAAAAAACTAAATCTTCATTTTTTTTAAAGCCTTTGTCATCAAATGACAAATCAAACTTAAAAGGAAAATCAAGGCTAAAAAAGCTTTGGTCCCCAAAGTAAGAAACTTGTAGAAAGATGCCAACTTCAAATCAGCATATATTGCAATCTCAAAGGTTTCTTTTTTACTCTATAAAGTCCAGCAATGAGTTGCCCTTTGTAGTCGACATCTTCCTTTGGGCGCAAACTGCAAAGATCTAATTTTCCAATATTTCCTCTTTTTCCAAGCTTAACCCTTACTTTTTCTCATGGTGACCACAACCACAAATCACAAAGCAAATGGAAATCTAAATGAAATCTCCAAAAAGATAAAAGGATAAGAATGAAATGACATGGAAGAGATAACTGTTCTATAGCTTGAAGGCACATCAATTATATTTATCAATGCTCATCAAAATCCAATATTGCAAAGTTTCCCTATCACTCGACAGAAAGTATATATCTCTTTACAGCCTTTGCTTGGAAGCAGCAAACAATGTTAAAAAAACTCTTGAAAAAAAAAAGTTGCATCTACTACTACTGTATATATACTTTACTGTCGTTATACCCTAATGTCTCACATGACAATTCAATATTCAATTAACTTGTAATGATAAAAGTTTTGTGAAGTTGATGTTATTAATTAGAAGCTGCAAACAGATGTTTATTCCCAACTATGAAAGAAAAGAAAAAGAAAGGAATCCATGAACATGAGGAGGCTAACTTTAAGTTTATAGAAAATTAAAATTTAAAGTCTAACTAAATTAATTCATGTAATCGGTTTTTAATAAATTTGGAGTTCAAATCTTAACTGTTGTAATCTTTTTCTTTATTTTTATCTTACGATTTTGTTTGTACAAAAAAAAATTAAACTGTTCAAAATTTGATGTATAAATAATGAATGATTTACTTTTTACTGTTTTCATATTTTATGGATATTTCATCTTCAATAAATTGAATTACACAAAATGGAAAAAGAAGGAAAAAAATTCCCAACCCATAAAAACTCTGATAGATATGTTGATTGAGATGGTTAATTTGATCTGTCCATGAACATTGCATCCAAAGAGAACCAAATTAATGTAGCCATATAGGGTTGGCATTTAAGATGGATGATCATGCCATATTGAACATAGTTAAATCTGTGATTAATCTTTGGTGAAAAAATTAGGTTAAAAATTAGAAAAAAAAATGATTTTAGAGCGGTTGGCAGTTGGCTTTCATGTAGAGCCAACAAATGTACATCACTCAAACTGTCACACACAACAAGAGCCTTGTTGAATATATCCCAAAAGCCCCAAAATGTCAGCATCAAAACGCTTGAATGAGATATAAATAATCTATCTGAAAATTAGATGAGGAGCTCACCTGATTCACGCCTCCCCAATTGGCCACTTGTTCCAAAATAGAAGAAGAATCGCTTTTCCTTTTCATTTGTTCTTGTGACAGATTGTTAGAATTTAAAATACCCAAAGAATTATTGTATAGTCAAAAACCACAAGTATTTTGACTTGACATTAATCCCTATCTCTTTTTTTCTTTTATTGCCCTTTGATTGTTCCAACTCAAGGACCACCACAAACTAAACGCTACATAAATTTGACAATTTCTTGTACTATTACTTAACAGTTACCATATTCAACTCAAAACCTTCAACTTAATTGAAATAGACAAACAAAAATCACGCTATTGGAGGATTTAGGAATGTTGAAGATGTTCTTAGGAATGTTGAAGATGTTCTTGGAACTGACCAATCAAGAAGAAGTTGTTGTGTCATGGTGGTTTGTAATGAAAGGTGTATTACGCAAAACCCACCCATAAACAATCACAAAATAAGCCTGCATCAAACCCACATTGACAGTGTCTTTTTCCCAAGGAGTATAAAATGCGATGAAAGTGAGAGCTTCATTTTTGGGGATCACTTTGTTTTGTTTTGAAATGTTTTAGAGGGTTTGGACCACAGGAGATTGGAGAAGGAACGGTTGAATCAAGATTTGGGGCAGTGATGGGGACACCATAAAAAGAAGAGTGAAAAAGGACATGCACTCACCGTCTTTAACCAACTATTGTTGTGTGTTAAGAAATCAATTTCGAGGGCATGGAAAATGACGGGGCGTTTGTTGACTGCTCTTTTGGGGCTCTTTCTTCCGCTACTTCTCACTTCATCACGGTGATCATCATCGTTTTCAAATCTGGAATGTTGGCTCCATCGGTTAAACCAAAAAGGAAATCGAGCCTGGCTAGCATTGGTTCACAAGAAAGCATGAAACCCCGATACGCTATAGCACGGGTTTGAAAAAGTATTCATTATTCAAAGGCCAAAGGATAGAAGTGATTTGTCGGTTTGATTCTGACAAGAATGCTCGACTTGGCATTGTTTTCGAAGGATCAATTGTTTCAACTTTTTGACAGGCCAAGAAAAATAAGAGAAAAAATGCAACGGCCCAGTTTTACACACAAAATGGTTATGCATTTGGAAAACATTTGTTCTCTAAAGAAATCAATGAAGGGAACGCAGAAAGCTCCTGAAAATTGTGTATTGTCCACCACAAACTCAACAAAAAAAATTAAATAAGACTGTCATCTGAAAAATCTGAAGTTGTCATTCTATGGTCAATGGAATTGTCTTCATAAGCCAACCAAATCAAGATTTCCACATAACCCAGAATTTCATCACATAATGGTGCAACGGCTCCTTTCTTCTGCTGGTTGTGGGGCAACCTGCTGGTACCTGCTTGACTCCGAGGGGTTGTATGTGAACTCAGATGTATCCAGCCCGTACTGATATACATCCAGTGAAAAACAATATTAGAGCAACAAAATAGGCAGAAGGTTTTGAGGAAAACAAAATGCAGTAATAGAACCAAAAAATATGGTGGTGGTGGTATTGGGGGGGGTGTACAATCTGATCATCTAAACCATTAGTCAAGCTATGTATTGTATCACACAGTGCAACACAATAGACAAACTAATTTAGTAAAATCTAGGCATTTGGGCAATTTAAGAAACTGACTAATCTGAGTAAAAATGAGAAACATTCACTACATGTTGGGCTTCAGCCACAAGCAACCAAATATCAGTAGCAAATATATACCAAGAATTGCAAAAATGTTTAGAATTTTACCAAAAGAAATTAGAATTTTACGGTTTTTCTTTTTATTTAATACAAGCTAGGAAATATTGGGTAGAGAAACAACATTCATTTAGTGAATGAAACATTCGATTCAAGATTTTAGCATATCAAATTACTTAATAATCCTATATCCTTGATGTTTAGCAGATTATTTAATTCACTATCAAGATCCCAAGTCTCCAGAAGAACAAGGAACAATGTAAGAATTGGTCTAAGCAAGACCGTACCAGAGAGGACACCATATGTCTATAGATCAAAGAGAAGGAATTGATGGAACAGAAAGCACCTTTTCCCTCATACGTGTACTCCAAGCATCATTTCTGCTGGGCCGTTGATCAAGGCTGCCAGCAACAGGTACACCTGTAGCTGGAACTGGTGGCCTGTTGATCAAAGGCTGTCTGATTTGTTGCCTTGGTGCAATGAACTCATCATCACTGTCATAATCAGCAGGTTTATTGGCAGCCCTAACCATAAGGGCTAACAAGAAAATGAGAGCCTGCAAGTTCATGTTGATTTCAAACCCAAATCAGTAGTATTAATGCCCACAGAAATTATAGCAGCCTGAATGTTTTTCTAAAGAGAAATCAGTGTCAGTTTTCAAATGATTCAAGGCTTTATTTGATGTAAAAGTGGTATCAAAGTAAAGTCACTTCAGTTCAAAGCAATAAATATCAGAATTGCATCCATTCATTTCCGTGCCACTATCAATCATCAGAAAACAGTCATAAAGCACATCGTCATCCTGTTTCATACATCTAAATTATCATGCAATGCAATTTATCAACTGACTTTTGTCTTGGTGAATACAACCCAACAGTTTTCTCCAAATGACAGTCTCCTTAAAGTTATGTAGCACTAAAATATATACAGTCAGCTTAATCATAATCCACATTGAAAAGAAAGGAACATGCAACATTCCCTATTAATGATAGTTGATTAAGTTTTCAACTTCCCTTTATTAGGATTAAATTGAATGCTTTTTGACTTTAAGCTTTGATTATGGCATTTAAATAAGATCATATCTCTTTTTGCATGCTGGATATATTTGCCACAGACAGACATCCAATGCTAAAATATCTACTTTGTAAGAATAAGAAGTCCTATGCTTTTCTGGACATTAATCCTGTCATATTTCCAAAAGCTAAATGAAACTACAAAGAAACAAATTACAAGTTCCGTGAATAAAAAATGTAATTTGCATGTTCTAAATGAATAGGAATCAAAGGGGAAATCCTTGTGTCAGTAATTAACTTCATTTATTTAACCACTTTCAGTTTACCAGATTGCTGCTCAGTATTTTGCAGGAGAAAACGTGAGTGCACATGCATGTGAAGTAATTTTTGAGTCCTCAGGATGAGCAGCACAGTCACACTATGCCTACCTCTAAGATAACAATTCCAAGAGCAACCCATTTGGCAATACTCCAGTTTTCTTCCAGAAATTCATATATCATATCAAAATCTCCTGTTTTATCCGTAGGCAGTTCCTAAAGAAATTAGCATTAATTAGATGACCAAGCACATCATCTTCAATTGAATAGGGGGGAGGGGACCAAAAAGTTAACACAAAAATTACATCTTTCCAGCTTTTGTCGAAGAATATGAAAGCTGCACATCCCAGCTCCACCAAGATCAACAAGATCACCAACACCGAATACTATGTCACCTTAAGGAAACCAATCATCATGAAAGAGAAGAAAAAGGATTGGGAAGGAATGAGCATTAACAAATTAGCTATTTATGAAATACTAGATTATAATGTTGTCATGATGTTAAGTGATATCTATGTGACATCATCATTGCCACTCAGAAAAGCATCAAATGAGTAATTAGGATACACAAGTCAAGCAGCATAAATTCCGCGTTGTAGCTCCAATACAACCAAAACAAGAGATAACAAAGAGAACCACACCTACTCCAATAAATAAATATATAAACCTGCAAAATTTGAAAATGGACACTTAAAACACAAGAGAACATTGAGAAAATTCCACTAAAATAAGCACTTGAATTCCGATCAAAATTCATATACTCAGAAACAATTATATCAATACATCTAAAAATCAGCATAAGATCCTTCAACAATACATATGACCATGGTTGACATGCAATGAACTAGAAAGCATGTATGTTGTAACACACAGTCTCAACCCAGATGAATCAAGATCGGCTTAGCTGGCCTTGGACTTTAAATCAAGATCAACCAGTCTCAACCCAAAATCATCAAAGCATACTTGAGTTCTTTCTTGCATGAATTATAGAAAAACCAGATGAAAGGAATGGTTAACATTGCTATCTCACTGCCTTGGAACTGCTCTAGCTATCAGCTATTCTGTTGGAAATGCCAAGACTAGCATGCCTCAAAAATGAAACACCAAATCACATTCCAAATACTAATTATCTCCAAACCATTGGGTAGCAGTGTATAAGTAGTATAACAACCCCATGAGTGAGCATCAGGGGGATCTTGGAGCAGAAATCATTCAAGCTAGTATTACTCAAATTCAAGGGCAGCAAGTCAAAGTTATATCACATACAAAAATTTTCCCAGAGGAAAGGATAATTTTACAACTTCTACACAGCCACATTTTGAATTCAACTGATGCAAAAATGACTAATCTAATAAAAAAAATAAGAAACACAATATCAAATTATAAGCAAATGATGAGAACTCATACCATGCTTTTGGTAGATTATCAAAAATACCAGACGAAAGAGACACAGCCATGAGCATGGGCCGACCAAGCTGTACCAAATCTTGATCACTGCCCACAGAGGACAAAAGCATGGCTGTATCCGCAGCTTTTTTGTACTCAACAAACAAGTAGATCCCGTATCCAACCATTGCCAAACCAACAAGAGTCATCAACAAGTTCAAGAGCTTCAACAAGCACTCCAAGCATCCTCTACAAGCCATCCTCAATAACGATCTTTGTTGATCCTTCTTATTACAGTTCTAATAAGTATTTCCTATTTCATCAACTTGTATATTACCTTCAATAAAAAGAAACCCACGTTTACACTTTGACATCAATAAATCAATCACTGAAATGAGAATCTAAATAATAATAATAATAATAATAATAATAATAATAAACTATTACAAAATCATTTCAGAAATTTTTGCTAACAAAAAAGCAGGAAAAACGATAGCTTTTTAAAGATTATAGCTTTCTGGCAACATAATGAAAAGAAACAAACTTTGAAGGTTTTTTCCAGAGTTTTCTGAGGAATCATAATTGGGTTCTCTGAATTCGTGTTACCATCAAATCAAAAATAATTGCCTCTAAAATCATCTAATTTATGCAACGTAAACGGAAACAATAAACAAAATTTGTACTTTACAAGCAAAACCAAACCCAATCGAATGCTAAAAAAATATATAATTCTATCTTAGATCGCACGAAAAAGGTAAAATTGAATCGAACACTTACAATTTTCGAGAAAGGGTTTCGATTGCGAGCTTGATTCTAAGTAATAGTAATTAATAAAATATTTTTTTCTGAGATGATTTTGTGAAAACAGAGAGGAAGGGACTCGAAGGCTGGGAGAAATAAGGACAGCTATTTTCATTTTTGCTATTTCCTGTCATGACAAGCTGGCATCTTGATTTTTCCAGTCCTTGTTCTGATTTTGTTTGGTCCTTCCAAAAATGCAATCATTCTCCTCTCGGTTAACGGGCCTCCAGTAGTAAAGTCATTTCGTTTACTTCCGAAACGGAAGAAGTGTGATGTGCCCAAATAATTTTTTTTTTCCTAGGAACAAATATTTGCATGGAAATTGGAAGAATTTTTGTAAAATTATGTTCCCTTTGTCTTTGGTTCGTTTGCAATTGATAAAAGCATCTAAATCTAAACGCACAAAATGCTTGTTCTGGTAATGACACTACATAATTATTATTAAATATTAACTTATTTTCTTTTTTTATGAGATAAAAAAATAAAAATAATAGAATTCGACCTTTTAATTTATTAATTTTTTAAATTTTTTAATCATTAAATTAAAAAAATTGAAGATACTATTAATCAACTATCAAATTAAACCCTAATTGAAATAAAGTCCTATTTTTTTTCCAACATTAAGTACATTTGCATAATTTATAAGTGATTTATTAGTGTCCAAATTTTGATAATGATAGATCAATGAGTCAAGATATTTATGTAAATAAAAAAAAAAAAGTTTCTTTTGTTAGTAAAAGTGTTTAGGACCTTATTCAAGTTCGATTCATCTTTTAAAAGTTGAAAACGATTTAAATTTTTAAAAAATATTAATTTTTTAAATTTAAATTTAAATTTAAATTTTATTAATAATTTAATATTTTAAGTTAATCTGAACTCAAAATTTTTTACTTAAAATACGGAGTGGAAACAAATTTTTTATATGTAATTGTTTTTTGTAAGTATAATATTGTGTGTGTATTCATATATTATTTATATATACCAATAAATAAATTATAGTGTTTATAATAATTAAAATAAATATGATTTAATGCAACATTTGTAAATATACTTATATCTAAAAAAAAGAAAAAAAATAGTGTAAATACATTGACTTTGAATTCAATACGAGTATGAACTAAAATGAAGCGTATAAAAAATCTAGGAATTTGGATTATTATAATTTTTTAATCATTTTCCTTTTTGTTTAATGCAACTAATAAGCTTAAAGCATTTATATTTAGTCATCGGTGGACACGACTCTGACGAAACAGCAATTCCTACACCGTGTTTCTTTTTCTTCAGTATTGTCCCTTTTTATTACAAGGGAAATTTGAAGCCAGTTGTCTTCAGACACGTGTCAAAATTTAGAAGGGGATAATTAGTTGATTCAAGTAACGAGGAGTTTAATTTTTTTTAAATAAAATCTTAATTTTAAATCTTATAAATTAAAAATTTTTATTTTTATAATATATAATTTTATTCAATTTAAAATTAATCAAAATTTAAAATAATTATTGGATATTAAAAAATTTCATACCAAAAAAATATATTGTGGTCCAAATAGCAAATTTTATAAATTATTTTTTCCCTAAATAATAAATTTATTAATCTCATTTAATTCTATAAAATCTAAATTTACATAAGTATATAACAGGAATTTTATAATTTTTTTATTTTAATCCCACTAAAACAAAATAAAAATTTTGAAGAAAGAGGTTAAAGTAAGTAAAATTTCCATCTATTTCTATATAATGACAATGAGTAATATGTAGGTTAAAAAATCATAAAATTTTTTTATATTTGTATTATAAATATGATTATACTTTTCTTTTGCATATTTTTAATTTAATGTAAAATACTTTTAATAATGAAAATTGATGAATTTATACATGACAACTGATTTTTTTCCTGATTACATCAATGCTTATTCCCATTGATTATCATTAACCATTAATAGAAAAACAAATACGCTTATTTTTATTGTGTTGACATAATTAATTGATTTGTTTAATATTAATTAAGAAGATAATTAACATAATAATCAACGGATATTAATTTATCGATTAAAACGTTGACAAGACGATCAAGTTACATCAAAGAGAGGCAATTATTGAAAAATAGTAATAGTAATAATAATATTGTATATTTTGGTTGAACCCTGTCACCGGAAAATGCAAGAGAGAATAGGGTAGAAGCCACGTGGATTGAAAAAAGTAGGGCCCACCGGCAAAAATGGCGGGAGAATATGCTTGGAGGGACAAGACACCAACTAACGGTCAAGAAGGTGAAGTGATTGAAGTCTAAAAAACTGATTTCTGGAAATTCCAAAGTTTGTTCCTAACGGATTGGATGCTTCCATGTAGTCCATGACAACATAACTTGTTATCCTTTCACTTTGTGTATTTTTTTTTTTAATTATTATTTTCTCAATAATTTGTAGGGTTAGATCGTGGACTTACAATTATAATAATACAACTATTTTCTAATTTTAATAATTTACTATTTTTACATATTAAATAGTGGATGTTAAAATTTTAATTTCAAATTTATTAAATATTATTTTTTAAAAATATTATATGAATCAATTAAAATAATTTTAATTTTAATAATTTATTTATAAAAAAAAAAAAAAAAACAAAGCAAAGGGAACAAAGAGAGGAAGAGTGGGAGAGTGAGCCGGGCTCAGCTAGGACTTTTGGCCTTGTAGACTGAGAAGTGAGCAATGGGAGTCAACCCATCATTTCCTTTTTCAAGCATAAAGCAATTGTAAGCCCAAAGCCCAATGCGTGCAAGGTTTTCATTTTCTGTTGAATTCATCGAGGGAATGAAATAAATTGGTTGTACCACCATTTGACCATGAAATTTATGGATTTTTTCTTTTATAATAGTATCAATATTTTCCTAAAAAGAATAAAATTATTAAGAGCTAAATTAAGTTGACTTCATTTTATATATTTAGAAAGCTTTTACACTATTTGAACATGAGAATAAGAAATTGTTTGATAGCGCCATGAATCCAGTATCAAAATGACACTTTAAATGGTGAATCAAGCTCCCATTATGTTACTATACGATTGTTTATGCAAATAAACCTGGTTAAATGTTTAAAATTTAACTCAATTATTTCGTATAATTATCGTTAAAAGAAATTTCACATAATCATCATTAAAAGAAAATATTTAATAATTTTAAAATTAAATACTAACACTTCTAATAACTTTCACTGATTTTAGATTACGATTTCGTTTTTGTAAAAAAAAAAAAAAAAAAAAAAAAAAAAAAAAACCGCGTGAACAGTCGAACACCTATAATCCGTATTTTTAGATTGTGATATTTTTAAATAAATAAATAAATAAATCTCATGAATAATCAATAGTCAAATATTAATGTAACACTTTAATCTCATATTAAGAGATTTTAAAAATTTATTATAATATATAAGTAAAAATTTAAATTTAAATTTACGATACGTTTTTTGTAAGATAAACAATGAAATTTTTAAATTAAAACAAATAATACATTACAAAATATATGCGAATCTTTATAAATTATATTAAAATAGTTACCAATCAAATGAGGTTAAGTATTATATGATGAGAATTACTTTTAAAATCTTACAAGAACGAATATCAATATTTGGTGCGTTTGATATGGTATTAGTTATATGATTTTTTATGGATAATACTTTACAAATTTGATATAAATTTTTATAAATGATATCAAAATAATTATCAATTGAATAAAAATTACTTATAAAATATTATAAGAACTAAGTATTATACAATAGAAGCCATTCTTAAAATCTCAATTTATGGTGTGATTTTAATTTTGTGCGATTTTATATTTCAAATTTATAACATCTTAATTTCATATCAAAAAATTTAAAAAAGTTATTATGAGATATAAATAAAACTTTAAATTTAAACTTGTAAAATACCTTTTGTAAAATAAATTAAAAACAAACTGTAAAATTTTTTTATCAAAATAAATAATATTTTATAAACTAAATATAAATTTTCATAATTAATTATTTTGAATTATTATTATTATTTTCAAATAAATCTTTTTTATGCTTCTTTAATTAGTCTTTTATCATTATTGGATGGTTATGCAAGAAACAACTCTTCAACTTAAGTGCTTGGACCCCCTCCACTAAGATTAAACGAAGCATTGTCGATTTCTAAGTTTTAATCACCCAAAGGCATTAAACCAAGTCATATTCATATATAACCTGTAAATCACATTGTTGTACACCCATATCCATTGGACTCGAGATAATTATCAAGTCAGCATCCAAATTATGGCTTTCCCGTCAAACTTTAATCACAAAGATGAAAGATCACCAGTAGGCCCCACCAGGGAAAATAAAAAACGACCCGATCATCAAAACCAAAAATTGAGCATTAAAAACTAAAAAAGAAAAAAACAAAGGGTCCCCGACACATCTGTTCCGCCAACAACAATTGTTCATGTCATGACTCATGTTAGAAACTATTTACAACCACATATCTCAAATGCGGTGTACATTACATCTACGTGGCCATTGTTAATCCGACCGTTTTGTCATCTTGAAAGCGACCACACTTGATCTTTTCACTATGGCGATAGATTGGATCAGATTCACTTTTTTTCTTCTTTGTGTCCTAGTGTGGCATGTCAGTAACAACAAACCCTTGATCACGCGCTCCATACACGCGTACCTTCACATGTTTTGTTTTTTGGGCTGGTGGCTGGATGGGAGTTTGATACGGTTCAAAGTGCAGCAAAGTTGGGTGGTCGCACCAGTCACATAAAAATCTGGAAGCACAAGGGTAGGACCAGGTGATCTAGTTCCACGTCAGCATGAATCAGAGCCATTGATGGGAGGAGGAATGGTGGATATGCCTTGTCTAGAGAGCTCAGCTAGCACACCATCAGTGGAAGGAGGCTTGAGTCCTAAGGGCAAAGGTAACCATGGCTTGTTTATTGCTTCTTTCACAACCATGTCAATTACCTCCTCTGCCTGCATTCAAACAACCCAAATCATCAGTGTTAACCACTAGGATAATAAAGTGTAAGATCAGAGATAAATAGCTTAGTAACTAACATAAGATGCATGGTGGTGTTCATTTGGTAATGATTCCTATAAGAGTAATGAACACTAGATTACCAGCTGATGTTCAACGGAACTTTTAGGCATGCCACTTCTGTTGTCCATGGTGCTAGAACAATGAAATCCAGACGCATTCTGCATATTCTCAATAAGCAGAATACCAGAAACAGGATTAAAATTCATTCATATACTTCAATCATATAAGAAGACTTTTTTTTTTTTTTTCAAATTATCCAAATAAGGATCACTAGATGCTTACGTTACAACATTAACCACTGAAAAAAAGAAAGAAACCGTATTGAAATTGCATGGCTAGATACTCACTTGAGCGAATGCAGAACAATATTCATGAGGCGGGGGCATAACAGGGCAACCCCACGCATCAGCATGCACCTGAAACAAAAAATGATCACATATCATATATATATTATACATATATAACTGCATTTCATAGCTTTCTCTATGAAAACTAACATACTGGTTGATGGAGTCAGCCAAGTAGTTAAAAAGATGAAACTATAGACGACAATAAACTCACCACTGGGTAGGGCATCCAATGCCAACCTTCAGTTGGTTGCCATGGGGGGTAACCTTGTGAACCCCACATCTGGATGCTGGCTAGATGAGGAGGTGCTCCCCACATGGGATAGGGTGGACCAACCGGGACAACATGATTAGAGTGGTATGGAGGAAAGGCCATGATAGGTTTATGTGGATACCAACTCCTTTGCGTTTGATCTCTTTGTGGCCATCTTTGATCATCCTCCTTGGGCAAAATGTGTCTCCTATGCATTCGATACTTCTGCATCACACAAAAATGGCAACTTATTATTAGTTAAGAGTCGAGAATTTATGTAACCAGTGCTCAGACAAAGGAGGCAGAAAAAGCAAATTAAAAGAGCAAAATCTGAAAGGTACCCTCATTTAAATAATTTAAATGTCATGTATATTGCATTGTCTTATGTCTTCTACATTTGCTAAGCTTAGCTAGAACAATAAAGGAGACCATTCTTTTGAAACAAATATGTAATGTGAATAGGATTTTCAACAAGCAGCAAGTAGTGCAACACAGAATGAAAGGCACTGGAACTATGGAGTCTGATTGAGTATCAAAAAGGAAAAAATGCTACCAACCTGGAGATGACTTGCCACATTATGCCTTGTCAAGCCTTCCACTTTCATCAGCTCTAATATTCGAGAAGGGATGGCTTGATCTACACCTAGTTGATCCACTGCCTGGACAAATTTCTTATGCAGTTCAGGTGTCCAGTCTACCTGAGAATTCAAACAGAAATTACAAGAGAACTTACTTATCTTAACCATAAATACTCAAGGATAATTAATCAAGAAAGGTGTGATGGAAACTCTTTTTGCCAGTCTAAGTATACCGGGAACTAGGAAGTAATGTCCACGGTGGCTCTTGAACGGCTTTCTATGAAGTCAAAAAACTTATAATTCTTAAAACTGATATCTTAAGACCAAATTTGAGCAAAATTCTTATGGAATTGTGGACTCAGGCAATGGTAGCTTAGTGATTAGTAAATGCTCTTAGTAAGACATGTTTTCTATGCTGACATTGGGAAAAGATAGTGGCAGGACAAGTGCAAGACATGGTGCAAGCTGAAGGGAATGTCACCGGAAGTTGAGTATGGTTCTATACATTTTAGAAACATGTGAAATATTGCCAATAAAGGATTACAGGGTATGAATTAGATAGCAGTCCCCTAAATCACAGAATGGTTATACATAAGGGGCATTACCTTCAATTTTTTCCGATTTGCTTTATTCAGACATGAACTATTAAGACCAGAAACTGAATTTGGCTTTTCAGCATCAGCATGAGAATCTTTGCTATTTGCTCTGTTTTGTGGATGAGAGGACATGGTACTCTCGCCCTTGGTGCCATCAACTAAGGCAGCGTCCTCTTTTACCATGGTCTCCCTCGGTCCCTGAGGTCGGCCAACGGGTGCAGTTACTTCAGTGAGTGCATTGCCACTGGTAGTTTCGACAGATTGGGATTCTCCATCCTGCTCCCCACTCTCTCTTTCTGTAAGGCAGTTAGTATGATCTCGGCAATCTCCATTGTCTAACAGTCTTCCTCCCTGTTCTAATTGCGGTGTTGAAGGAGCTCGGTACTTATCACTTCCTGGTGGTGGTTTACAGTCATTTTCATAAACCACAGATGCATCTTCTGCTTTGTCTGAGTCTTCATTCATAGGTTTTCCATTTTCCAATTGTAGATGCAGTATAGAAACCACAGATTCTTTAACTGGTTTTAGTGATTCAGAAAGGTCATTCCCCCCTGCATTGAATGCCTGTAAACGACCAATAAAATGAGAATTTCCTTATCATAGTAACTTAATTGCCATGTACATGCAAATTTCAAATGTAATTCAAGCAATATCCAGACCGACCTTATGAACAACGTGCTGCCATATATTCCTTAGTTTATCCTCACAGAGTGGCTTCCTAAGAAACTCAACTGCTCCAAGCTGAATATAAGTTTTCAAAACATGCGTTAGCAATTATGATGTGTGGAAATGAACTTAGGCTCTCCTGATATGATTTGAGCAAACTGAAAATACATGTAAATCTTACAGCTATGCACTTCATCATGGTGCTGATACAATGAATGTTTGAAGTCACTGAAACAAAAATTATTTATAAAAGCATTAGGATCCTGAAAATATGTACAACAACAATTATTAGTGTCAAAGATGGCAAAAAAATTTATGTCCAGGGTGATTAAACAGAGTTTCTTATATAAATTAAAAATCTATAGCAGGACAGGTGTAGTTTGTATACTTACTAATGGTAGGCAAGTCCTTAGCAGTTTCAAGAAACTTGAAACTCCCATTGTTATTGTTTGTACTGACCTGTGATCATACATGCTGTTAGTATAAATTGCAAGTGGACAAAGGATTAAGCTCTATTTATCTCAATAATGAAGAGACGACATTGATATTCAAATTGGATGAGACAACCAGTATCATAATAATGGAAGTCGTGACTAGGCATTATTGAATTTATATAACAAAGCCAGAACAGTCTTATAAATTTTCTGGTAAGTTTCTACTACTAGTTCCAACAGAATGATGAGACAAATTATATAATCATGCTGAAGGTTTGATAGGATGTACTTAGGACAAATCATCAACATTTGAAGCATGCCTTTTTAACTAGTTTTTTTCCCCTTAATTGAAACTTGTTGTAAATCAAAGTTAATTCGTTACCTCTACAATGGCTACATGGAAGCTTTCAGGACTACTTGAAACTGCCGATAGAGCTTCATTTTCATTGCAGAAGGTATAAACTGCAAAACGCACAATAACTTTTATCATACAATAAAGATAGATAAATATAGGGAGGAACAGAGAAAAGAGATAAACTAGCAGGTGAGGGAAATAAATGCCACATTAAAGATACAGGAGATCACCGTGAAGACAGAGTAAGAACATCAGATTTAATTACCATTAACTAAAGGAAAATGTAAAGAACACTGTCTGGAGCTTAAATGGAGTTCATAAAGGGGAAGAACATATCTGGAACAGGCAAAGTCTGAAAAACGACATACTATTATAAGAAAGATTTCAATATTATAACTTCTTCATCAAATTGAGTTTTAAAACATCAATACGACAAAAACAGTTACTTTTTGTTGCTTTGATTCACCATGTGGTGGGGAAAATCTATTTATAGCAGAGTCAAGCAGTGCAACAAATTGGTTCCTTTTTATAGAGCTCGTGACCACAAAATCTCCGAGTTTTATATATGCTTACAACCCAAATCCAAACCTCCATAAAAACTAGAAACTGCCAATCCAAAGCAATGGAGCAATAGCAGATGCTTTGAGGAAAAAGATGGGGACCAACATAGTTGAGATAAAAGGAGAGTAATGTGAAGTGAATAGACAAAGAAAGTAAAGTCTAAGGACTTCTAATTCAGGTAAAAGGAAGTAAGAATAAAAAGGGTGGATTCTAACCAATATAGTCCATAGCTTCAAGCTTTGATTTTATCTCGGCAGCAGAATTGCTGTCCTCGTCAAGAAGAAGGACCCTAAGACCCTTCGGAAAATCCTTCCATGCTGATAAATCATCAGTAGTGCAAATCATAGCTGGTTTGGCATCCTTTCTCAGGCAGCCGACAAGTATTGCAAATTACAGCTGATCAACATCCGATTATTTCTGCCTGACCACAAGAAATTTTCCCATAAAACCAAAGCTGCTTTCATTAAAAAATTTAAAAAAAAAAAAAAAAAACTGTGTTTTTGTGAAGCAAGATTAAAAGCAGACTGAACTATAATAATAATTTACAGAAAGATTCAGCCAAATTAAACAAGCTTTCTCTTGATGCATAGTTAGTGAAAACGTATTGGAGAGACCCCATTGCAACTGCAAAGGTTTTTAACCAATTACAGCAAATTAAAGACCTAAGTATTGGCAGATATATCTGAAGATTGACTCATAACAAGGGCTGTGTTGAACAGAAATACCTTATTTAAAGTCTAATTCATGATGAATTTAGTATGCATGCAGCATCAAGTACTTGATCATTTCCCAAATAAAAGAAAATTCTGTTACATTTAGCTGCTTACAGCATAGTAGCAATGAAAAGAGAATTAGAGATTTGTGCTATCACTTGTACTGGAAGACAAAAGGTAGAGAAAACAACCCATTTACAAGATCTCCTTAAAATGCATAAGAACATAGCAAAAAAAAAGCCAAAAAATTTTGAAAAAAAAAAGAAAAACAAAACAAATTGAACAGAAAAACCAGAAGAACAGATAAACAAAACAATGCTAAAAGCCTATTTCATGCATGCAAAGAAGAAACATCAGAGATACCAAAATTTTTGCAAAAAAAAAAAAGACACTTTTTTCTAGTCTTCAAAAAAGAAGTTGCATGCATAAATAGATTATTACCACAAAAGATAGAGAGGGTAAAAATAAAAAAGAAAACCTAGAAATAAGCTACTGGGGACTGATTATGTAGTTTAGGGATAGACAGGATTTAGGAAGATGGATAGCTGTCTGCTACTCCTCCCAAAGGCTTTGTTGTTTCAACTTAAAAGTACTTTCGTTTGCCTGCAATATAGAAAGTTTTAAGACAAAAAGAGAAGTGGTGTTAAGTGCGGCCACTATGAGAAAGAGGATGCCTGTATCTTTGTGTACAGTTCCTATCAATTCCCTACGGGCCACAGAATATGCAAAAATATATCGAATAATCATAAAAAGTTTATTATATTACTTTTTTAATCTTTTTATGTTAACAACTAAATTATTTATAAAAAATTCATCTTTTATTTTATTTTATAATTTTATTTAAATGATTTTTATAGCTAAAAATATTTACTTAACTCACTAATTATTGTAAATATAAAAAAATTAAAATCAATTTATTAATAAAATAATATATTTTTTATTTTTTATTTTTTATCAAAATAAAATATAATTGTGATAAAAAAAATAAAGTTTAATGATTCATATTATTGTGCATATCATACTTATCAATAATAATTAATAGATAAAATAAATAAATAGATGTCAATTAAATTTTATCTTTTTAATTAAAATTTTTTAATTTAAATTTATTAAATACAAATATATATCCATAAATGAAAGAGAATTTTCAAAAATATTGGGACTCCTAGCTATGCTTGCCATTCACCCCTATTCTTAAGACAGAACATCCATTCATTATTGTACCTTTCCAATTCTTGTTTTCCCACTTTTTACACCATTTTTTTTTTTTTTTGCTAACACTTTTTACTTCACTCTTGAGATTAGCTTTCATCATTACCTTTGGTGAAAAAGGAAAAACAAAACACTAGCCAAAAATCCAAAGTCCAATGGATGTTGGTCTAAAAAAAATTGGAAACTTGAACAGCTTGTTTTCTTTTTTTAAACTAGTTTCATGCAAGTAATTGATCATCATACATAGCATCTCTTTATTACAATCTTTATTTTTTACTCAAGTTCCTTCCCATGATTTTGCCTTGCTTTTCTTTAGTTCTTTTTTTTTTTTTGAGTTCTTCGACATATGACTACTTATAAGCATGCTTTTGGTGGGCAACAATGGAGTAATAATGCTTAATTCATGAATGTTCAAATGACAATTGAAGCCCTAGTTTTAACCTTTTCAACGCTTAAAAGATTTGTTTAATAATTTCTTTTATTTTTCTTTAAGGCTTCAATTAATATTTTCCTCTTCCCTTTCTTTCATTTTCCCTTTTTATTATGTGTTAATTAATGAAGTTAATTTTTCCTTTTACGAATGAAATTACAGTATTGGATAAAAGAATGAGTTAAAATGTTTGAATTTAAATTTTTTTGATAATAAATAATAATTCATTAATGATTAACTGATATTTGTATTACAAACTAATGGTGAAAGAGATTACATCCATAAACTCTGTCCCCTTATAAGTTATTTAGATTCAATTGAAATAAAATTTAAATTTAATTTAATCATTATTGAGTCGAGCTCATATTTGAGCAACTAGACTTATTAATCAAGTCAAATTTGAGTATCTTAATACTTGATTTAAGTAACTCATGAGTTTAATTAAATTTTTAAATTTTAATATATTTTAATTATTTTAATTAAAATTTTTTTTATTTTATCTTTATATATATCGATTTGTTTCGAACATATAATCGAGTTTGAAATTAAATATGATAATTTAGCTCATTTTTTAGTAAACAATCATAATCAAGTGAATTCAAATAATTTATTTTTTTGAATTTGAGCATAAAAATTAAAATTCGATTAAATTTGAGTTAAGTTTGAGTTAAACTCTAATTCAAATTTTTCATTATATCGATTCGATTCGACTCAATTATATCAATAACATAAAATTAATTAAATTCAATTTTAATTCAATTAATAAAGTTAATCTAAAATAAGCATGAATAATTGTATGTAAACCATGGGGTTTTAAGCCATTTTGTATCCTTTATTTAATGCAAGGGACAACTACTTGTAATTATACAAATAACCATTAATTTTTTCATCTTTCACCGTTAGTTTATGTGGAATTAGGTATCATACTTCATAGTTGATATGGTTAAACACATGCCAAACCTAAAGCCCAGCAATTAACTTCTTCTTCTTTTTTTTTTTTTCTTATTAAACAAAAACTAGTAGTATAATAATGGAATAAGTACTAGCCAACTAGCTTATGGTCATGGAACTTAATCATTTGAAAAAAAAAGAAAAACAATTCAATACCTAAAATAGAAACAATCACCCCATAAAGATTTTTTCTAGTTTCTTTTTTTGTATTAAATGGTGGTGACACTTTTTTTTTCCTTGAGAAAATTCCCATTCAAATTGTCATAATTGATTTTTTGTGATTATTTGATCTTTATTATTTTAAATAATCTCATTAATTAATTTTTTATAAAATATAATTTTGAAAGGGTAAAACAGTAATTTGATCCCATCAGTTTCACGCTTAATGTATAACAAAAGAAATGTTTAATCTGGTAGTTAGTTCGTTAATTAGGTAATAAGTATAGTTAAGCGTGGTTATCAAGTGTATCTGAATCTACCTACTCTATCGTTCCGAACTTTTAGAAACCTACGACAGCTCACCACGTGTCGAGTTCATACATTCTAAAGCTAAAGCCAAGTTCATTTGAAAGAAGGCCAAGTTTAACCCTTATTCACGTGTGCTTTATAACAGTCTCCTTGCTCACGAGAATTATAATCTTTATCAATAAATTTTTATAATAAATATATATGCATGAATTTATTAATAATTTTTAATTGTTTATTTAAAAAATTTAATACTTTTTTATAAAAAAATTATGTTCAAAATGTTATTTGATTTTTTTTTTAACTTTTATTACATTTGCAATTATAAGATCAGATCTATTTTATATAAGACAAAAAAAGCGGTTTTTGTTGCTAAATAAAAATTTTTAATCAAAGATTTCAAATATATATTAAAAATTTATCTTATACACCGTCAATATATTTTAATTATATAAAAATAAATTAACAAATTTAAAAGTTAATTTTTCATATATTATGGGTAATTATTTTTTAATTTTACAAACAAAATTAAATGATTAATCAAATTTAAAAGAAGTTAATAAAACAAGTAATTACTTCTTTTATTGGCTACAAATTGTTATGAACATTTATAATTATTTAATTTTAGTGAGGCTGGACCAAAAATGACCTTTCACACACCTAACAATTCCCTCTTAAATTTTATGCATTAATTGTTTCATTTATGTGCCCTTGTATAATTTTATAACAATGTTATATATAGCTCCTAAAGGAGGGAATATTATTAAGGGAATATATGCTATATTATTTTTTTTATTAAAAGACAAAAAAAAAGTATTAATAGTGTTGTTTGAGATCATCTCAATTAGCTACTATTTTTATTTATTATTTCATAAATAAATTCATTTGTGGATCTTAATTTTGATTTTAGAATTTTAAATATGTAAAAGTTGTTGGGAAAAACAACAATACCTACGCACAGCAACCACACACAAAATAACAAGCTCAAATCAAGAATAAGAACACACAAATATATTTGGTTCGGCCCAACTCAAAATGGCCTACTCCAACTTAATCCACTATCAAATAAATCTTTACAAGAGACTTTTAGAATGAGAAAAGTCTCCTAAAACTCCTTACTCAAAACTTAACCCAAAACCCAATTACACCCTTTAATAGCCTACTCACTTAGCTATTCTCTTGGTGTCTAACTCTATGGGGTTACTAAACTAAAACCAAAACATCTTATTTATAGGGGTGAAACCCTTTATACCTTTACTAAACTCCCGATGTGGGATACAAGACAAATTCAAACTTACTTAACTTTCGATGTGGGATTCTGAGATTCAAGGCAAATCCCAACAAATCCTCCCTTGACTTGAATCTCCAAACACTTCAACAGTATCTGCAAAGCTAACATGCTTATCTTTCTTCTTTTCTTTCATCACAGGCATTCCAGCAACTAAGCCTCCATCAAACATGTACAAGTGATTGACCCTATTCCCTTGTAGGATCACACTATCATTCTTATACACTTTCAACCAATCATTACTACCATAAAATGTGTACCCCCGCGAAGCTAACTCACCCAAAGCAATCAAATTGTAGTGACAATTTGGTACATACCTTACATGACGAAGTGTCCTAATAACACCATTGTGAGATCTAAGGCGAACACTCCCAATGCCTTGAATTTGCACCTTTTCTTTGTTAGCAATCACAATATCCCCATACTTTTCATTCTCATTCAACTCCACAAAGCAGCTCCTATCATTGCAAACATGAACTGTAGCAGCTGAATCTAAAACCCAACCTTTGTCACTTTTCAAAGTCTGGGTCTCATCCACACAAGTTGTCAAAACAACATCATCATCATCAGACAAAATAGCAGCAGTATCACTCTTTTCTTCATCTGATTTCTTCTCATCATTCGCCCTTTTGAAAGCAGCCATATCCCTTCTCAGCTTCCTGCAGCGCACTTGGATATGTCCCTTCTCACCACAATAATAACATTCTACATCACTGTAATCTCTGTCTCTTGACTTGGATCTCCATCTTGATCCATCAATCCTCTTTTGAGTCCTCCCTCGATCAAAACCCTCTACAGCTAGTGTACTCCCCCCAGGTGATGAGTTCTGAGCTCCCATAAACCTTTCATTCTCACGCAACAGGGCAGTCACATCATCCAACTTCAAAGTAGACCTGCCTACCAACACAGTCTGAACTAAAGGCCTATAAGACTTGGGCAAAGATGACAGCAAAATTAAAGCCTTCTCTTCATCTTTTAACTCATCAACAGAAATCGCTAACAATTGAGAAACCAATTTATTAAATTCATTCAGGTGATTATGAAGACTCATACCTTCTTCCATCTTCAGAGAATACAGATCCATCTTCAAACATAATCTATTAGTCAACGACTTCGAAGCATAAATACCTTCAAGCTTATCCCACAAACTCTTCGGAGTACTCTCAGTCAACACACTGTACTTTACTTCTGGAGCTAACGCCAATCTAATAGTACTAACAGCCTTCTTCTGAATCCTATTCCAATTAGCATCAGACATTCCTTCAGGCTTACTACTCTCCAATGCCTGATCCAATCCTTGTTGTACTAACAGATCTTGAATCGTACTTTGCCATAACATAAAATTACTCTTTCCATCAAATAACGGAATCTCAAACTTAGGCATAGACATACCAGACATACCTTCTTCAGACATCTTCAAACACTGCTTCACGATCTCTTGGACCCACGAACCTAGAACCTCGAACCTGGAACCTCGCTCTGATACCACTTGTTGGGAAAAACAACAATACCTACGCACAGCAACCACACACAAAATAACAAGCTCAAATCAAGAATAAGAACACACAAATATATTTGGTTCGGCCCAACTCAAAATGGCCTACTCCAACTTAATCCACTATCAAATAAATCTTTACAAGAGACTTTTAGAATGAGAAAAGTCTCCTAAAACTCCTTACTCAAAACTTAACCCAAAACCCAATTACACCCTTTAATAGCCTACTCACTTAGCTATTCTCTTGGTGTCTAACTCTATGGGGTTACTAAACTAAAACCAAAACATCTTATTTATAGGGGTGAAACCCTTTATACCTTTACTAAACTCCCGATGTGGGATACAAGACAAATTCAAACTTACTTAACTTTCGATGTGGGATTCTGAGATTCAAGGCAAATCCCAACAAAGGTGATGAAAATTTTATTAAATTTGACTGAATTAAATGTTGGAGCATGCTTCAAAATATTACTTCTATGTTTTATTTTTTGTGATAAATTTGACGCATTTTTTAATTTAATTTCCAATAAACTTCTCAATTATCGACTTAGAAATTATATCATCAGAGATCGAATGCAACTTTTCATATATAATAATAATATTATTATTAGTATGAAGGAAAAAAAAAATGAAGTTAATGTGCTAACAGGTTGAAGTACTTAATATTAAATATATTGATGTAGCACTCAAGCATAATAGGGCTGAGAGGTTAATTGGGTGACTAATAGCTAGGCAAATTATAATTAGATAATACTAATTGGACCACCTCATTCTTTATGCATGTGCTATAATAATATTTACACAAAAAATAATTAATTATATATACTTTCTCGTAAATACATTTTAAGAAAAACATAACTTATAAATAAAAAATATTAAAATTTAAATTCCGAACAATTGAATATCACATTTTAAAATAACTACATATAAACACTAATTGGATTAAATCTTGAATTTATTTTCTTAAAAATACGTTACTAACCATAAAATTGTTACGATATTAAATCCAAATTTTATCTTTTATACATTTGTTTGTATAAAGTATGTAGCTTATATAATTATTTTCTTATTGGAAACAATTTATCATGTCTTTAGGCACACGATTATTGCAAAATTTCAAGTAAATATATATGTAAACATAGATATATTTTTTTTCAACTAATTTGTTGCAAGAGTTGTTATTGAAAATCATGATCCTCTATATTGAATTAAATGCCTTACATTATGAGCATCAATGATAATTCCTTTTCAAAGTCTTCAAAGCCTATCCATAAGCACGGATGAAATCCCGACCCAGGCACAACTTTTCCAACGTAGACTTTACATGCATCCCATTCATTATTTCCATTGAAAAAGAAGCAATTTTTCCACTTGTGCCTCGTGTTGTCTTTGAGGAGCCTTAACTGGTTAAAGCATCACCACAACTTTCAATGCCTACCAAATAATAATAATAATAAGAGATATTATTATTATTGTGCTTCATTTTTTTTATATTGTATTCATATGTTTTGATTTTTTTTTTCGAATAATTTGATACATTAAAAATTTTATTTTTATAATATTTTAGACTGATTCTTGTAAGTAGTTTTGATTGTTTATAGTTATAGTATAATGATTAGAAATTACCACTTTAATGATATCAAAGTACTTGCACAAGTTTTTTATTTTATTTTATTTTGAAGATAGAAAAAGTGAATTATAACCCATTAATATATACTTTTAATTAAAAGAAAGAGAAAATTTAAATCTGACTTTGTGAATAATGATAAAAATATTTATTTGTAAATTATAAATAAAATAAAATAATTATATATGTTGTGATTGTCCAATCTTGTCAGTCAATGCATGTTATTTTATACACAAATATTATACATATGCTGCATGTGAATTTTTCATTAATTAGAAAAACAAATTTTATTTTATTGAGTATATACCTCTCATTTAAAGATTTTGGCCCATTTCATTACATATCATTTACTATATCCTTTCTGCCCTCCTCTTCAATAATTGCATATATCACTTACAATAATTAAATAATTATACTTTTAAAATTGTATAAAATTCATATCTATAAGTATGATTTTTAAATATTTTTTTATATTTATTAATTTTTAAAATTTTTACATGAAATACTTCCTAATTTTTTAAAATATAAGCTAAACTCATGATGGCATGATGGCTAGTACCCATTATTAAATTGGTAAATTGTGTTGTTTCCAGGTGACGGTTCCAGGCTAGTTATATAGTCTGAAAAGTTTACAACAAATGTAGGACAGTAGGAGTGATGGGGTTTGGGGAGGAAACTGTTAGGTATATGTTGAACTAAATGTGGGATTTTTAAGAATATGGAGTCTTAATCGTCAAAATCCTTTGCCAGCTTATTCACCACAAGATAGGCCATCGTTCTGTTGCCGTGAGACGTTGGACACTGATGAGGCTAGCTAGCTAGTAGGCAACTCGAAATTCATAACTGGAAAGGCCCACAGATTTTAGAAGGAAAGGTCATGGCTGTGTTGTAATCAAGGCCACCGATTTGATCCAAATGTCAAGGTGGAATTCATACAAACAGTGATGTGGGAGGTTTCAAAGAAAGTGGACACAATTTGTGTTTGAAACTATGGTTGTTGTTGAGAACACATTTCCTCGATGAAAGGACACAACAATAATGGTATGTTAAAGCTTTTCTAATCTCTAAATTACTCTCCTGTCTCTCCCTTTCACCTATGTCTGGTTCCAATTGGTAGAAATACATAATTTTTTTGGGAAAATTTCTTAGTGTAGATACCGTATTAATACGCAAGTTATTAGTAAAAATCATGTCCATCGTTAACAGTTAAAAACGTAGGATGTGTAAACAATGGTCAGGAAACCTTAGGATAACAAGGTACATTTGATCAGAGGGATGGTCAAAATCAGATTGTTGATACCGGTTAAATCACTTGATGAATTGCATTGATCATAGATCTGTGAAACAGACTTCATTGGATGAGTTGGGCTCAATGTAAGTGTATAGAACAGCCTGAACATGAAGTGGCCTGCCATTGCCATTGAGCAACAGCACACAGTAAAAGTTACCACCGTTTACCAACTCAAACAGATTAGTAAGATGGGTTGTGAGACCTGAATTCTCCATTTATTCTGGTAGTCTAGTCGGTACAGTTGTCGGCCACCGGTAGGTGATACAGGTTGGGCTCAATGTCCAAGACCGATTAGGTAATCGCTAATCAGTGTCTGCTGAAGCGGAATATTAAGGTTCACCCGAGTTAACTTCATATTTACTATGGCTAGCACCATATTGAAACTCTCTTTCAGTGGCATTGTTCTTTAATGGTGTACTTCGATTACATTCGGTCTTTTCCAAAGTTATAAGCAGTTGTTGGATGAAATTGATTATTGAATACTCATCTCATCACCATAACTGAGGATATAGCACAAGCTCTTCCTATAAACTGAATATCTTTCTAATGAAACAGCGAGAACGATAGTTTCTGGTCAAAACAGAAAACAGTATGGTGATTTTCACTGATTTTGAGAGTTTAAAACATAATGAAAGGAAGTAAAATAGATTTCATTTAGATAAGATGATCCAACAAACAAATATTGACACACCAAAATCCCCAATTTGGATGCCTATTTGTTGCTATAACAGAGGAAAAAGCTGCGTTGTATGTAGTATAATTTTCAATGGTTTACAGGTCCCTGGTGGGACGTCTGCATAAAGGGTTGTCTCTTAACCTCCAAAACAATCTCAAGGACCGAAGCTCCATTGACAGATGATGGAAACTTTGACTTGGTTCATCAATCTCTTCACACCTTTGATTATTCCGGCAAAACCCTGTTCTTAAATAAAAGCTATGATGAACGTCAGGAAAGTCTTCTGCAAGGCTCTTAGTTGTTTTTGGGACATAAAAGTTAAAAAAGGGCTGTTCTGCCATTTCCAAGACATCCCCAAGTCAAAACATCAGTGCTTTAGGTTCTGCATGAACATTTTGGTTGTGTGCACATTAGACAAATATGAAACCAAATTGAAAAGAGAACACTGAAACAGACATCAATTTTGCCAAAAAAAAAAAACCTTTAAAGCACAAAATACAGATAATATGTCCTAAAGCGCACCAGCCTCCATTCTGTGGTCCAATTGATTTAAGTTTGTGGTGATGTCTCCATCTGGTTTCAGTTTGACTCCCTCCCCCTTTTTTCTCCTCCTGGAAGAGCTCAAAGAGCCTTCAACTGCAGAAAATATTAAAAAGAACACATTAACATTGAAAAAGTCATTCAAAAGATGCTAGTGTCAAGTGGAACATCTGACAAGACGAATATGGTTCTCATGAAGCTCCTTCGACTAATAGTTAAAAATAAATAACAATAGGAATGAGTTTGGACAAATTTCAAGCTTCTTAATTGAACAATTAAAACACACAAATAAAGATTTGAACCTTGCCATTCCCACACCACTTTTGATTCACCCTTAACAAGTTTGGGGTAGCGATCTACTCGAGAATCATCTTGTATCAATTCCTCAACCTGAAAATAAGTTGAAGATTAATATGGACATAAAAGATGTAATTAGTTCTTAAAACCTTACAGCTTAGTCGACTACAATCTATTGGCAGTTCGATATATTAACATAAAATTGCATCAAGGATTAGTTCTAAGTTCCAACACACTATGAAAGAAAAAGGAAAAAAAAAAAAAACCCATAATTAAAAACAGCTAATCAGATCAATGGACAAAGGCAAGTAAAACTACCTTTTTCCATAACTGAGGATCCTTTCTTTCCCTAGGCAAAAGAAGATGATCTCGCAACCAAGAGGCAACAACCCATGATTCACCTCCACCATTGATGCTGTTTGACCTTAAGGCATTCTCCTCAAGCATGTCACAGACCTAAAAATTAGAAACAATTCATTACCAATTTTTTTTACTTTACTTATATAAGAAGTATACTGACTCAAATTTTTTTCTCCAAAATTTTCATAAATGACATTCAAATTGCTTTACAATTTTATAAAATCACTTAAGATTTGGGGATGATCAACTAAAATATAATGAAAGGATAAAACTTTTGTAAGCAAACATTTCCTGAGTATGACAATGAGGCATGCAAGTTGGTTATTCTAAAGTCAAGAATTTTACAACAAGAACACCATTTTCACTGAATCTTGATGTATTTTGATAATATCTTATCTCACTTTTTGCTTTGCTTCCCTTTTCTTTTTCCATTATCCATCCCCAGCTTCCATATCCCAAAGTTCAATTCATTATAATTCAAGGTGATGTCTTTAATTATATTAAAACAATAACTTTCTTTTAAGCCTTCATCCATTTGAAATCTATCCCAGCAGAGTATAATGGGTAAAATAACCCTAAAAATTTTGAGTGAAGTGTAAAACTGAAACACAGAAGATCACCTCCAAAAAAGCCTGACGTGCAGAAGGTAAGGAAAATAAACCAAAATTTACTATAACTGTACATTGAAAATTTTGCTCACCTGATGGTAAAGCTCTTCTACTCTAGCTGAAAGATACCTTTTCTGATGGACTTTCCAGAAAAACATTGCACATCCTATAATCTATAAAGCTAAATAATGTTAACAACTTTCAAAATGTTCATACTATAATAAAGCATTCAGAGGATGGCTTCCAGAAGGGACTACCCCTGCACAAACAGGCACGATAATAAGAGCATGCTTGGAGATCAATTCACAGATACGACAAGTAAAGGGTTTGTAATGTTCAGCCAGAGAATCTGGACATTTGAACTCCCGTATCCTGTATAAAAACAAGATAAATGTGAATTAAATGGTAACGACATCTGACACATAAAATTGATGATGATAAGCATACCCATGGAAATTTGTTCTTGTCTCCAATGATTTAACTATTTTCTCCATCGCCCTTCTTTTTGTATACACATAGGTTGGGTTGTCTAGGCCAACATCTTGCATCAGCTCGTGTCCATCTAAATCATTCCAAATATTATGTTCTTGAACCTGAAATAGGCATATATTTAGAATAACTCACATCAACAACATATAATTTCTAGGATACTTAATTTACTTGAATATGAATGTAATTTTATATGAAATTGAAATCATAAGGTACCCAAACTGTCCCAGTTCCATAGCACAAAACTTGAGCGTAAGCTTCACAAAGGCCAGCTTCTAGCCACTTGGACTGCAACACATAAATGAGAATCAGAAAAAAGTGCATATAATAGTCCAAGTTAAAAGATGCAATTGTGGTGCTTAGAATATCAATATATCGGAATGAGCAAGATTGTAAGAACACACAAGTTTCTTAGCTGTTTCATTGATATCTCCATCTTCTATACACAGCTTTCCATGTCTTCTATAGCCATGATTACATTCCATCTTGCCTTGATAACATTCCCCATTACTTGGACAAGGCTCACAAGAATCTGTGGTAATACACATTTGTCAGAAGATTATTTGACAAAAAATATGTTTAAAATTTATCTTACATATTCAATAAAGAAGGAAGAGGAACATTGGTTGACACTTGACATAAATTGGTTTAAAAGAAATATAGAATAACCATAATGAACAAAGGACACTTGAAATCTAAAGTTTCCCAAAATATCGTAAAGCCAATAAACCCAACAAAATACCCATAATTAAAGCTACCTAGAAAACCAAAACTAATAAAGGAATGGATAAAAATTCATATGAAAAGATACCCAGAAAGCAAAGTTTAACAAAGAACAGAAACACCCATAAAAGAAGAGAGAAAAGGGGTTAAAGGAATTGACCAGAGAACGAATCGGTGTTGTCCAGGTTACTATCACAGAAGGGTTTAGAGGTCGAGCCGAAGAACGTGACGAAGAAGTTGCAGGAGAGAGCTACTGAGGATGCTATTGCGAGTACCGCTATGAGCCGCAAGAACTCTCCTTTAGAAGGGAACAAACTCTGGGGTGACTCTATTATCGAGTTTAGTGGAGATTTTGAAGCTGATGATGAGGAAGAGGAATTATGCTTCGGTTTTGGACGCTTCTTGAGTGTTGATGAAGACATTTTGGGGTTTGATCGACGACAACAATGTTAATTAAGAGAAAGGAAAAGGAGAGGGAGAGCAGAATACAAGGCTTCTTATTATTCCTTCATATTTAATTTTGCTTATTTTTATTTTAAAATATATGTTTAATTATTTAATTTTTTTCTCTAACATTTTAAGATAATTATATGTTTAGATAATTAAAATTTTCTTTATTTTACCCATTTTGTGTGCATAAAGTTAGTGCCTTGAAAGGCTGGAAAGACACAAACTTTTTTTTTGAGGTATGAAAGGTTTTAAACTTATGACGCCATCAATGCAAAGACCATACCTTTTTGGACCCTTTTCCATTTTTTTAATCTTGAGTCCTTTTCCAGTCTCCCTTCACTCACTTGTGATCCATTTTTCCAAGTTTCCGACGCCAAACTATTTTGTTTACCAGTTGGTAAACTTGCTATTGAGATTCACTTCACCTACTGCATCTGCATGTTCCATCTGAAATTCAAGTAATTGAATTCCTTAGGCTGATATCACATGTCTAACCCCCTTTTTCCTTTATTTTTCAGGTACCCCATTATTTATTGTCACCATCACTCAAATTCAGATGGCAATTTCTTAATAGGACTTTAAAAGTTCCTTCGTTTTCTTAATTGAGAAGAATCTCCAAAACTGGTCCTGATAGTAGCCGTAATATCCTACACCCGTTTTCATTTATGTCGATTATTTTTTTATGAAAATTTATCTTATTTTAATTTAATTAAAAATTTTAATATTTTATTAATAAATCACGTTATTTTAATTAAAAATTTTATTTTTATATCAGAGCGAGTCAAAATTTATAAAATAGAACTGTTTTATACTATATTTTAATTAAATTTATGGGGTGATAAATAAATCAGCAAATAAAAGCGACTCTTTTTTTTTTTTGGACAAAAAGCAACTCCCAATTTAGTTTTCATTACACATTGTCTTTCTAAAATATTCTTTAATATAACTGTAATTAACACACAAGTGCTGACTCTGTTCCATGTCTGCACCCAGACAAACACCCAAATTCTCTAGTTGATTCCTAATGAGTTCACTACAGAACCCAATGCAATCAAAACCCTAAATTCCCCAAATTTCCATCAACACTCTCTTCTCAGATCTACCTGTCCTGGTAATGTATTCAATCCAAACTTCTTTTTTTTTTTTTCTTTACTCGTTATATTTGCATCAATCGAGTACCTGCAATTCAATTCAATTGACATTTTACAGAAATAAATCGATTGTTTAAAGTTTGAATTTTGTTGGGTCTATAGTAGAATTCAATTTTTGGGTATTTAAGATTATATACAATTTCCTTGCTTGGGTTTTAATGAAATTTGTCAGAGGATTATTTAGCTTGTAAAGGATGAGACTTGAAAAGAATTTGCCATAAGATGTTCTTAAGAAAAAAGATGAGAAAATTCTCTTCTTTAAGCTCTTAACCATTAAGAAAGGAAAAGTCTTGCAAAGATATATGAAATTAACTTCGTGGGTAAGTTTGGAAGGTTGTAGTGGAAACCCCATACTTTTAGTTAGGTTCTAAACTAAATCTTTTACTGTTATGATTGGTTTTTCTTTTTGGTTGCAAGAGAATTCTTGAAATAATTGATGCAAAGTGAATAGTAGAAATATGTGATCGTCGTGCTATATATTTGCTGGTGGATTATGACTTTTTTAGTGTTAGATGAGAATTATCCAACTTAATGTTATCAGGGCTGGGGAGGGGAATTAAGAATATATTCATTTCAGGTGCTCTCTATGAGGTGAGACAGGTTATGATGGCAGACTTACCGAGTTATCTGCGCAACTGCTTGCACGCTGGAAAACTTGCAGTTTTGGCTATTTTAGTTTCATTAGGGATTGTATTGCAAATCTTGGTTAGTAGTGCATTTCTCTGTTAATTAACTACCTTTCCATTGTTTGATGCGACATACTTTTTCTTCAATCTGATTCCTTGTGTATGATGTCTCAGGCCTGTGCTCTGTACAATAATTGGTGGCCAATGCTGACTGGTAAGTGAACGTGAAGCTTATGATCTCGGCTTTTTTTGTTTATTAATTGAGTTACATATTCCTAAATGAATTCTTTAGTTTTCATCCAAGTTTAAGATATAAAATTTCAGTCTTTTAACTTATCTATAGTGCCTATTACTGATTGAGTTGTTAATCCAAGTTTCAGATATAAAATTTCAGTCTTCTAACTTATCTATAGTGCCTATTACCGATTGAGTTGTTAATAGTATTGGTACATGACCCTGTAGGTCGACCTCAAAAGCTAATGATTATAATTCACTTAGGTATTCCTGTGATTTAGAAGCATGTCAAGAAAACAATTGCTCTTGAATCTACGAAGTTATGTATCTTAAGATTCAACTTAGGGACATGCATTATGCATTCAGAAATGTATCTTCCCACAATTCTTTGGGTTAATTCCTTTCATTGTTGTGTGACTTTACCCTGTAATTTGTTACCTTTTACAAAGAATTTGCCGCATAAATGCAAATGTGTCTAAGCAGGGAGGGCTTGAGATTTTCCTGTCACTTTTTTTGTCCAATTAACTAAGAACCTTCAAGTGGTTGATCATATTACTTAATTTAAGCATGCTGACCTGCTTCATTGCTGTTGCAGTAATAATGTATGTGCTTCTTCCAATGCCTGTGCTGTTCTTTGCGGGCTCTAATGGTTCTTCTCTTTTTTCTGAATCTGACAACAATAGGTAAAATATTTTTGCCCTAAACTTTTTCACTTATGAGATTTGATCCTCTTTTTCAGTTCAAGCTTGAGCATTAAACTAATTATGTTTCTTCCTGATGAACAATATAACAGTTGGGTCAATGCAACAAAGTTCTTGACTGGAGCTTCTGCAGTTGGAAGCATTGCTATACCAGCTATCCTAAAGCATGCTGGAGTTATTGGTTGGGGAGCATTGGCGATGGAACTTTCATCTTATTTCATATTTGTATTAGCCATAATGTGTTATATTCGAATGAACGGTGATGATGATTACAGTTTCCTCTGAAAGATGACTGATTCGGTTCCCACCGTCAATCATGTAAAGCAATGTCAACGTTAGTTCAGACGAGGCTATTTCTTTCCTGTTTTGACAAGCCTCGTTTCCATGTTTGTTCTTGTAGAGCGATGGAGTGATGTTTTTTTAGGGTCCATGTAATGAGTGCCAGTATTGTGTTTGAACATTTATTACACCAAAATTGAGAAAACTACATTTGTGAGATCGATCTTGCTTTAGATTTAAAATATGATGGGGTGGAAGAATGAAGATTTGCCGGTATGCTTTTTTTCTAGGGAAAACCTACTTTGAATTCCCAGAATTGTCTTAATCAGTGATTAAAAGTTCTCTTTAAAGAATGTATTAAGCATGTTCAGGTGGTAAGTAGCTTCTGTCATAGCCAACTATACTACAAGTCTACAACTATACACCATTTCCTCATCATTTTGTTTATGTACATTGCTGACAATTAACACTCATGCAAGTACCGGATAACAAACATCAAGGTATATTGTTGGATGATGAAAATGATGAGTTCGAAGAAACTGGTTCCAAAAACGACATTGTCACGGACTTTGGAGCATATTCACTAAAGTTGGTTTGATCAAGCAAGATAGAAGTACGTGCTGTGAAACCAATTACTCAGGAAACAATGTGAATATAATGAATTTGCGAGAGAGGCTATTCAACTTGAAGAGCCATTAGACATAGCGGAGGATATGGCAGCCTTCAGGTTTTAATTAGGGGTCCTGAATCTTCTGAAATGTATGAATACCCTGTAGTTATGAGATAAAAGTAAAACAATTATGACCTTGGTTTTACTTTCCTTTAATTAACCTTCACCTTCCATGATCATAAGCCAGAAATCTTTTTCATTGTAGAGCTCCATTTGACATGGTGTTTAATAACAATAGCATTTCTCAAGTTAAAAGTTACATTTAACAGCAAACGCAATGCCAAATGAAGTTCAACAAATAAAATATTTTGGCAGTCAAATTGCCATTTTCCAAAGATCCAAGTAACTTTCGGAGGCATGAAATGGTGCTAATATGATGCACATTTCTACACCAACCAAGTCAAGCCTCGATAACATTAGTTAATGCAATTGAAAACATTTCGAATCGGCTTTCAGTAAATTTCCAATCGGTTAGAACTCTATTTCATTTACTCTAAATTCCCTTTAACTTAAATTCTTATAATCAAAATAAGAAATAAAAAAAGATTCATCAGAATAATGTATTTCTCATTACCCAAAATTACAATAATCAGTAAAGAAAGAGTCTTATGTTCATGTTTAGGATCAATTTTTTTACCGACTTACAACCAATTTTTCATTGTCAAAAGACGATGCGAAACTGGGGACCGTCGGATCCATTCGCGGGCAGAATTTCCCAGCGGCAAGGCTCAAGCTCGTCGGACACCGGGCAGAATCCAGCTAACGTAACCTTATCTGCAGTAGCAGCTACAGACCCGAATTCGAACACCGTAACATTCTCGGGTCGGGGAACTTCAACGGCGCCGTTCATTCCGGGAACGGGTTTCGGGGTCTCACTGGGCTTGGGTGTGGTTTGGGTTTGAGGTTTCGAGCCACCTCTGAACCAAGAGAGAAGACCCATGGTTGGTTGTGGGAGCTTTTCGAGGGCCTCTAGGGTTTTCGGAGAAAGAAAAGGGGGGTGTTTATTATTGAGCAACTTTAGTGAAATTACAAGGGTGACCTAGTGCTTTTTGGGATTTTAGATTAGCAGCAAAACGCACCGCTTTGCAAAGGCAGGTTGATGCTATTTGAGATGTAATTTGATTTTTTTTGTAATATATAATATTAAAAATTTTTAAAATCCAATTCGAATTTGAATGATTTTTTTTTTTTGAACAGAGCCAATCAAATCCAAACAAAATTTTATCAAATCATCAATTTTTAAAATTTAATTTTTTTTGTTTTTATATATATTTTTTAAATAAAATTTTAATATATTTAAATAAATTTATGTATAAAATAATTATTTTTATTTTATAAAAATTTTAAAAAATATAAAAACTAATAAAAATATATTATTCGATTTAATTCAATTTTTTTAAAATTTTTCATATTTCAATCCAAAATATTATCTGAATTTAATATATACATATATAATATTTGATCTTAATTCGAATCGATTAAAAAAATTAATTCAAACCAAATCAAATACAAAAATTTTTAATCAATTTTTTATTTTTTTATTTTTTTCTCACCATTATCTTTGCAACCTAAACAAGCCCTTAAGACAGACAAAAGAGTTTTACTAGGCATATTTTTTGTTTAAGGGAAGCACGTGATAGTCAAAATGCTGCTGAGAACATAAGAAATTTCCACTTTCCATTTGCTGATTTGCATAACAAGGTTGCTAGAATTGAGCTGATAGAGAAAGAAAAAGTTGAGATTTGGTGCTAAAGTTCGCTTTGTACATGCAAGTAAATTTGTCATCCCTGGCTTAGAAAAGAGTATAAGCAAAATTCTACACTGAACATTCGAATGATTAACTGGCAAATCACAACACAATCAAAAGATCTAAAAGACTACACCCAGAAGACTTGTAAACTTCTCTAACAGCCAATAAATCCATCCATAACAAGTTTGTTGGTGGCTTTGTTCATAAAGCCAGGGTCCAATCTTTGCTTATAAACCCATAATTTATTACTAAAACACCATGTCAACAGAACTAAAAAGAGTAACGCCCATGATTCCCATTGCTAAAGGTTAAGCCTATCTATCAATTAACTTAAATCCATGTCAAATACAAGAAGTAAACATGAATCGTCTCAAACAGGAATACAATTGGGGAAACATCAGTTACCTCCTTAATGCTGCGTTCAAATCATAAAATTTCCGAAAAGCTCGAAACCTTTAATTCCCTTCATTATTAGCTTTTGAGCTCCTATAATTCCTTTTCAACTCAGCAACTCTTTTCATACAAGCTGCCTTTGATTTCGCAGGTACAGCAGCAGCAATCTTCTCCCACCTCGTTGCTACATCCTTAGGAAAAGCTTTCAAAGCATTGAGCAAGGCAATGTCTTCCCCTGAACTCCACCCCATTACTCCAGCATCATTGTCACCACCACTACTTTCTTGATTCTCCATGATCACATTACTTCTCGCATCCAATGGCTTCCTGTTCTTCAAAAACTGCGCATACGAATCACCATCGTCCACTTTCTTCTCTCCCAATTCCTTTGCTTTCTTTATCACATTCTCCATTTTATGTTTCCCCTTAAAGGCTGAAGCTATAACCTCCCATCTTCCCGGCTTACCCACCGGATTCTTCACCATTTGTTTCTTCAAAATCTCCAAATCTGCCGCACTCCACTCCTTTTCCTCCCCATCAAAAGCACCCACAAGATGCTCTTTTTTCGATCCTAAACTCGATAACCCATTTGAATTTTTACTTTTCACCTCTAAATTAGAAAACCCGTTTGCATTTTCCACTAAAGAACCACGATTTCCACTCAATTCGTCAATTTTATCGGGCTTTGACCGCTTGTGGGATGATTTTTTCTTAGATTCAGGCTCGGGTTGGGGTTCTTGATCGATGGGATCAGGGATGATCGGTCCATGACCAACACGAACGTCACCGCCGGTGAGCGAAGGAGGAGAAAAAGGGCCAAGAAGGAGGGAGAGAGAAAGCCAAAAGAGAAGGGATTTGAAGGGCTCAGTCTGAAGGGAGAAGAGGGAAACAGAGAGAAGAAGGGAAGAGATTGAGAGGGAAATGAAAATCAGGGTTTTCGAGGGTTTTTGTGGAGCTTTTTCTTGGGATGAAGAAGAGGGTTGCGGTCGTGATTGGAAGAGAAATCTGGGTCTAGCGTCCTCGTCCAAGAACTCCATGTTCTTCACCTTCACAGAGAAATTGGGGAGGGCGATGACGCAGATGATTATTTGTATTTATAATTTTTTTCTTTTTTTAATAAATAATCATTATAGAATTAAAAAAAAAATGTTCCTTAATCGTTTTATGTCGGTCCATCGAAGAAGATTCATATTATAAGATTGGATCTAGAATTAATTAGATAGTGAGATTATTCAAAATATGTTTACGAGCACAAAAATTTAATTTAATATTAATGGATTGATTTAATTTGTTAATATTTAATTTTTTTTATGAAGAGTTTTTGAATTTAAAATTTATCAATAATTATTTATTAAAATTATTACGAATATATTTTTAATAATTATTTATTTTAAATTATTAAATATTACATATTTTATTTTATTTTAAAAAATTAAATAATTTATGTACCTCAAATTTACAAAAAAAAATAATAATAAATTAATATCCAATTAAATCCTTTCTTTAAAGACAAATTCCTCGTTGATTTTTTTTAAGGGAGAAATGAAAAGTATGAGATTTATTGTTAAGAAAATACCACTACTAAGGAGAATTTTGCGTTATAAATAAATTATTCAATTTGTTTAGACGCTATCTGTTAAAAACAAAACCCTTAATCTTGCAAATATTTTCAAATTTTTAATCATATAGTTATACTAAACTTAACAAACTTTCATACATATATATATATACATAATAATAGTAATATTATTTTTTTCACTTTTTTTTTACAATTATTATTATATCATTTAAGTATATTTATATTTTTTAAATTGTAGATGGTGTTTAATAAACAATCCTCTCATTTATAAATAATGTTAAAATAATAAGATTAGTGAATTCAAGATTTGCTTCAATTATTTCATATAATTATATTAAAATATATTATTTAATATATTTAAAATTTAAATTTCAATACTTATATCTTCTTTTATTTTCAGACTTCACAAATATATATAAGCCAAAAGAAAAAAAAAAAAGAAAAAAGAGAACAGGCTGATGGAGGCATTAAGCTTTATTCAGCGAAGGAATCCGAAAGTCATAACTGGATTCCAGTTTATTACAAAACAATTAAGCTTCCATAAAAGGAGGATTTTACAGCTCTTCCTTCAGGCCACTTTAAGTTTCAACCAACCCTGCAAAAGGATACACCAATGAAAAAACTTGGACCAGCCAAAAAGTTATGAAAACAAGAAAAAAAAATGGAATTGTTTTTGATAGATTACGTACTTGGAACAATCCACGGTTGGTGAAACGGTGACAGGCAAGTTGATTCCACAATTAGCAGGAAGAGCCTGAGCCAACTGGGAGTTTGGCTTCATGTTCTTAGCCGCAGACTTGATGCATTCACAAGCAGCCTTCTTGTCGGCAGAGGATGATGCCGCTGATGCAAGAGCAGAGGCTCCAGCACAACAAGCAGCTGGTGGTTTCCCAGTCCCATTCACAAGGTAGTTCACACAAGGTCTCAGGTCCTTGATCACATCACTGCATGAAATGGCAGCATATGAAGCTGGAGCAAGCAAGAGAAGAAGCATAACAGCGGCCAGAGCTGGGATTTTAATTCTTGCAGCCATCAGAGTCCTTGTTTGATTTCTCCTTTTCCAAAAGAAACCAGAGAAACTTTTGAGGTAGTCTGGGACTGGTTCTTGGCTGCTTTTATAGGAAGCTTGAAGGGCTCATCAGCTCAAGAAATGAGTGAAAAATATTTTAAACTAGTTGTTTCTTACACCCAAGTAATTATTAGGTGTGATTGATGAATTATTTTGAAATAAACCAAAGAAGCCTCGCCATGTCAATTTGTGCAGTCCAACACGAAATAATCCCAGCATTAAGAAATTACTGATTAACCGACACTGCATCAATTTTATGTGAAACGTGAAGGTGAATGTTCCAACTAAACACGGTGTGAACTGGTTATAATTTTTCATGCAAGCTTTGTCCAAGTTGCTAATTACTTCCTTTAGAAGAGTCCAAACACATTGACAATCTATCGCTAATGTTTTGCCATGAATGGACATCTTAACTAAACTAGATATTTATATGTATAAAACTAGTACCATAGAAGTTTGTTTTTATTTATTTATTTATTTTTGTATGTATAAAGCTAGTTACCAATTACATTAAGTTACTTAATTTGCTCGTTTAAATTTGATTTAAATAAATCAACCAAACATAATGCTACCTAGCTATATATGTCCAATATGTTTTGCTAAAATCCCAGCTGGATAGTTTGTTCTATTAGCCAAATTCACCAACAGTAACAAGTTCTCTCTGAGCAAGGACAATCTTTGCTAACAATATATCATTTGCTATAGCTAAAAGTTTTTTACTAATCTCATACACTCAGTCAAACAGAAGGAGATCATCGGTTGTTGAGCTCAAATCATGAGAACTGTGATCCCAAGAGCAAGGAAGAGGAGGAAGCTGAAGAAGTGCTTCATGCTTCACAAATGTGAGACAGATTTTGTAACCAGTGCTTAAAAATTTTGAGTTCCTTTGTTAGTGGAATTTGTATTGGTAATGGTTACAGGAAGCAGATAAAATCGAATTTGCTGCTTCAATAAAGATTAGAGTTCCAAGCTTCCAATTCCAGGTCCATTCCTCGTATGTTCACCTAATATATCAATGCATAAATCTTTTATGAGAACTGTGATCCCAAGAGCAAGGAAGAGGAGGAAGCTGAAGAAGTGCTTCATAATTCACAAATGTGAGACAGATTTTGTAACCAATGCTTAAAAATTTTTTAGTTCCTTTGTTAGTGGAATTTGTATTGGTAATGGTTACAGGAAGCAGATAAAATCGAATTTGCTGCTTCAATAAAGATTAGAGTTCCAAGCTTCCAATTCCAGGTCCATTCCTCGTATGTTCACCTAGTATATCAATGCATAAATCTTTTATGAACTGCTCTAAAGTGTAACCAAAATATGAACTTGTTCGGCTATGGCAAGCGGTAACCATCCTCTGCAAAGACACATCGCTACCCTACCAATGGCACAAGTGTCTCCTATCAATGCTACGTGTCTTTATTCCATGGTGGCTACTCATATATAAACCCCATCTTTGAAACCAAAAAGCACATGTTCCAGTAAAGAAAGAGGGTTGCTAGCCATGTCGATTGCTTCCATGGTGGATCCCCATGATAAGATGCGAGCAAGAGACGTGAACAAGGTGGCCAAAGGTGAGCAAGCTCCTAGGCCCGTCCATGAATATGGCACTGTTTCACCACCTCCTAGTCCTCAATCCACCTCTCCTCCATCTCCTCCTAAAATTGCAAACAAAGAAATCTCCCCCATGGTTGATTCGGACGTAGCACCACAAACACGCCATTGTCACAAGTCTCATGTTGAATATCGCAAGTGAGTATTTATTTGTTTATGCAATAACTGATAAACTATTTACAATCAATTGGAGTTTACGATTATCAAGTTTAACTAGTTATTTTAGTCCCATAATTGGATTTTAATGGATGCTCATTGTATATAAAACTAAAAGGTGCATCAAAGAGAAGCGCAAGAATGCCCCGCAATTGTGACAAGTTTGCAAGGCATTTCCGGTCTCTATGTCCCGTGGAATGGGTAAGTAGCTAAGAGCTTAATTATTTCATTTATTTCTTAATCAAATTTAGTTAATTTTGTAGCGATGCAAAGATTAACATAAAATATATAATTTTATACATGAAATCCATATTAAATTTACGCATTTGTTATGTTCTGATTGCATATTATACTTGAAATTCATTTATTTTATTTTATAATTAAATGAAAATTTTAACGAATTTTTTATGAAAAACTTCATTAAAATTTTTTGGAAAAGATTAAACCATGGCAATTAAATGCGAATTGACAATATGTCACCACCTCATAAAACCAATAATAGTTTTCAATTGATGTTAATATTTAAAACAAACTTGCTATGTTTTGTCACTGATGACAATCTCATATAAAAAATCATTAACATGCATCCACTTAATTTCTAACCAAATGCAGTTTAAACGCCAACAAAATAAAAAAAAAAAAAAAAAAAGTTACGGAAAACCGAAAAAGTAAACTCATGTAACGTTAACACACGTGTCACACGCGAGTAAAGCCCCGAAAAGCCGAAAACCCCTCTCATGTGCTATTCCTCCCCCTACCCAATAGAAGCGCGCGTCAGGAGTGCGTGCAGGATGTTCTCCGTTGCATAAGCGTTTTCTTCCACGAGTTCCATCTTCGCCTCCACGGCGCTTATACACACGCTGTCGAGCAAATACCAACATTAATACAAATTTCAGCTCTCTTTAATTATTACTTTCTTTTGGTCTTTCCTCCTCCTGAGTTCGATTTTTTTTTCTTCACCAAACCCCAATCCTAACTCAGAAAACAACAACAAAAACCCGAACCCTAAAATTCAAAATAACGATTCGGCACTGAGAATTTCTTTCATGGATTCCCAATTCGAGACGGCCTCGCAACCCGACCCGGCTACCGACGCTTACACCTTCCTGGAATTCAACACCCAAGGCGAGTCCGATTTCGAATACACGGACTTCCGCGACCCGATTCGTTCTTGGCCAACACCCTCCGACGCCAGCGCTGTCGATCGCTCCGGCTCCGACTATCACTCGGAAACTGCTGCCTCCTCCTCTCCCTCTAGCACTTCAAAAGGCGCTGGCCGTGGCGCAACGAGCAATAACAACAGCAATAGCAATAGTGGTGCCGTGACTGATGCTTTAGCGACGGGGATTAGTGGATTGAATTTTGAGGAGACGGTTGGCGATGAGGATGGCGCTTATGAGTACGGAAAAGGGGATTTCGCAGAGCACGCTTGTCGGTATTGCGGGGTTTCAAACCCGGCTTGCGTGGTTCGCTGTAACGTTCCTTCATGCAGGAAGTGGTTCTGTAATTCAAGAGGGAATACATCGGGCTCGCATATTGTTAATCATCTCGTGAGTTTTCTCCTTTTATTTATTAATTTTTTTATAAAAAATATGCTGATTAAAGTTTAAATAGACATTACATTGATGTAGATTTGTATGTTTGGGATTTAGGATGAAATATGGAAGGCATGTGTTAGGGAGGGAGTGCATTAAGTAGCAATGGTGCTTTTATTTCATGGTGTTGACTTTGGGTTCTTTTTGAGCTTAATAGATTGAGAAATGAGATGATTCATATAACTGTTCATGACACTCTTAAAAGGGTTATTGAAGGTTTAAACTAGGTGATTCTGCTATAAATTTGGACTCAATAATGAAATGCATGCTTCTTGATCTAAAGATATGTTTCAGTTAGCTATGAACAAGTAAATGAACTTATGACATCATTCAGTCATTGTAACATGCTTACCATTTTGCTTCACTCTTGTGTAACCTGTTTTGTTTGATTCATTCACTTACACAGACTGAGAACCAGTGTTGATTGTTGCCAATGTTATGCACACCCTTGCTTTTCTTATGCTTTCATCATATATTCCTGTAACTTGGGATTTGTCTTTTATAGTTATGGGAGGTTTTGCATCTATTGTTTTTACAATATGCGATCCTTGGTTTTTTTCTCTTTTCTCATCCAATATACCTTGCATTCATGAACCCAGAAGACCTGAGAATAGAAACTGTAATTTTATAGTTTACATTTTTTTTTTGTGAACAAAAAACAATTTTTTGTTGCTTGCTTTGGTTTAGGGACTTAATTGGATGTTATGGCTGAGTATGTTTTCAAAATACCTTGTTACTCAAGCTTGCCTAGGACAGTATTTTCATGTTTCCATGGTGTTATTCTGTTTTAAAAGGTTCCATTTAGTTGTGTGCTTGCCATGGTTTGTTGCATATCTGTTTGTATGTTTAAACCACTATTGCATCTTAGTTGCTTTTAGTAAATACATATGTTTCTTAACTGAGATTAATGAATTGTGTGTTAACAAGTTGAATAGTCACTGGATTCTGTTGATTACTGAGTTCGTTTCTTGTTCCCTTTTAGGTACGAGCTAAGCACAAGGAAGTCTGCCTTCATAAGGATAGTCCTTTGGGAGAAACAATTCTTGAATGCTACAACTGTGGATGCAGAAATGTTTTCCTTCTTGGTTTTATATCTGCTAAGACAGAGAGTGTTGTCGTTCTTCTTTGTCGAGAACCTTGTTTGAATGTTAACGCTTTGAAGGACATGAATTGGGACTTGAGTCAGTGGTGTCCCCTTATTGATGATAGGTGCTTTTTGCAGTGGCTGGTTAAGGTTGGTGTTTTTTAATCACAGGAAAATAACCTATTGATTTGAGGACTTCCTAATAATTTTCACTTCCACAGGTCCCATCTGAACAAGAGCAGTTAAGGGCACGACAAATAACTGCTCAACAAATAAACAAGGTAGAAGAGCTTTGGAAGACAAATCCTGATGCCTCCCTTGAAGATCTTGAGAAGCCTGGTGTAGATGATGAACCTCAGCCTGTGGCCTTGAAGTATGAAGATGCTTATCAGGTGCCCATGTTTGCAATAATTGCACTATTTTGCTTTGTGTTATGATTGTGAAAAGACAGTTACGTCTTATAATGTGGTATACTAATTAAATTGATGTTTTCCTTTGCAGTATCAAAATGTTTTTGCGCCACTTATTAAGCTTGAAGCTGACTATGATAAAGTATGTATCATCATGTTGACTCTCCTTATCTCCACCTAACTGCCATCAATTTAATTGTTTATGTAATATTCTTTTATTTTTTAAATGGCAATGTTCATGTAAATCAAAATTTTGTTTTCTTGTAGATAATGAAAGAATCTCAAAGCAAGGACAACGTCACAGTTCGATGGGATATTGGGTTAAACAAGAAACGTGTTGCATATTTTGTCTTCCCAAAGGTGCTTTACTGTAGTGGTTTTACTAATCATTTTCTCTGAATTTATTCCATTACATAATTATGTTCTTGGTTTACCACCCCCGCCTTCCCCTCTATACGACAATGTCTCTTTCAACTTTTTAATTTAATAAATGTTAAACCTGATTTTGTGGTGCTGTAGGAAGACAATGAGATTCGTTTGGTGCCAGGTGATGAGTTGCGACTGCGTTATTCAGGAGATGCTGCCCACCCAGCATGGCAGGCTGTTGGGCATGTTGTATGTCTCCTTTATGAGCTTGCCCATTTAATTCTGCATTTGATGTATGCCTGTACATATGTGACATTGATTCTATTTATTGTTTGTGGAAAACCTGATAAACTTTTGTTGTATTCATCAATAAGGTTTATGCATTTGGTGCACTCAGAAACATGCCTGTAAATTATCTTTTCATTGTTTTAGATCAAGCTAACAGCCCAAGAGGAGGTTGCACTTGAGCTTCGTGCTAGTCAGGTAGTTTTGAAGTTTCTTTATTTTGTTGGTTGATTTTGGCTTTTGGGAGGTACTTAAAAATTGGTGCTTACTGTTTTTGTGGTGCAGGGAGTTCCTGTTGATGTGAGCCATGGGTTCAGTGTTGATTTTGTCTGGAAGAGTACAAGCTTCGACCGGATGCAGGGAGCAATGAAAACATTTGCAGTCGATGAAACAAGTGTTAGCGGGTAGGCTAGCCGACTTTGTTTTCTTTGCATTTGCTTGTTGTTCTAGATTGTTATGACAGATATTGTCATCTGTTTTTTCTTTTTTTTTTTTGCCAGTTTCATGTGTTAGTATTTTCATTTTGTTCATTTTCCAGTATAGCATTTTTAATGAATAAATAAAGGAAATAAAAAACTTTTTGTTTTTAGAAAAAAATTGAGTCTATTGAATTGACTTGCAGCATACACAATGCTTTTGAGGGTCTATGTTTAGTATACTTTCCTGGGTATGGTTTCTTATGCATATTTTAAGCTGGGTTAGATGTAGGTCAGGCTCGGGTTGAAACTTACTTCTGTATGACATTTAAGCTTTTAACCTAGAAAATGTATTATGTTTAGCCAGATGTAGGCATGTTTCAACGATTTTTTATTTGTCTTTATTCAAGGCAAAGTTGGCCACCTTTGTTTCAGCTGCCTGTCTAGCATTCAAAACTTTGTTTTATCCCAGCGGTCATGCATCTGTTTAACTTGAATTGCTAGTCTCCTATTAAATTAATTGGTTTATTTCTTGTAGATATATTTACCACCACCTGCTCGGCCATGAGGTTGAGGTTCAGATGGTTCGTAACACACTGCCTCGTCGTTTTGGTGCACCTGGTCTGCCAGAGTTGAATGCATCTCAAGTATGACTATTTTTTCATTTGCTTGGCTTCAAATGATTTTTGCTAGATAATTGTTTTTTGCATCAAGTTGTGTTGACCTCTGTTTGTCGGACAGGTTTTTGCCGTAAAAAGTGTTCTTCAGAAGCCTATAAGTTTGATTCAAGGACCCCCTGGCACAGGAAAAACTGTTACTTCTGCTGCCATTGTATATCACATGGCTAAACAGGGTCAGGGGCAGGTAAGAACTTCAATGAGATTCTTATAGTTTTATTTTGGCTCTATTTCTGATATTTCATTCTCTTATCAGGTTCTGGTCTGCGCTCCAAGTAATGTGGCTGTTGATCAGCTAGCTGAAAAGATAAGTGCCACTGGGTTAAAGGTAGAGAATTTAAACTATGCATGTGGTTATGCTAATTGTCATTTGACAATGTTGTGGTTTATTATTGT